ATCATATGTCATGACATGTTCTAGTTTCGAATTGCATGCTGTTAATTTTTTCTACAAATCTGTTTTTAAAAATCTAGGTTGCAAAATAGTCTAGCACCCTGCTGGCAGCCACTAGAAGCGCTTCAATGGCACTGACGTGATCTGGAACTCATTGAATACAATACTATATATGAGGAAGCTTGGATACATGTGTAGCACTCGCTGCCCTTGAGCATTAGGTCCCCAGTTCTTCTCTAAGAGCAGCGTTGGATTGAACCATCACAGAGGAGGTCCATGAGGCAGACAGGTGAGCAGCGCAGAGGAAGCCTATGCGCTAGAAAAAAGTAAGAAAAATTTGAATTGTATTTATTATTTTTATTGCACATGGTGAAAGGGCTGCTTAGAACTAATAACAGGTACACTAGGTTTGTACTCCTTATAGGAACACTCCTATAGTGTTCCTTTAAGGAGAGCAAGGGCAGACAACGATGTAACTGATAGAAAAAACAGTTGTATATCTGTGTGTAATTTTTAGTTTCTTTCTCGCCATGATTTGTGTCTGGAGAAGCTGTTAAGAGCAATTTGGCATGCAAGAAATTGGGCCAAATGTGTAAAACAACTGTAATCCAATTAAACACTTCAGACCCTCCTTATGATCTCTGACATCACCCATTACGTCCTCATTGGGCCTTCAGAGTCTGTTTGCCAAAGCCAGCGCTGCGCTGGAAAATAATTTGAGTTTTCTAGTTATTTAAGAAGGGCCAAGGGGCTAGCATGTTTTTAACGCTATAAGGTGAGGAATACACGTTTGTGTTCCTGACCCTAGTTTTCCTTTAAAGACCTATACACCCGTTTCCTCATGTTGCGTTATCGGTGTAACTAGATGTAATGGGAAGCCAGGGACCTTATTTTGTGTTAAATTGCTTGAAAATGTTTTAACACTGAATAGAGGGACAGCACCAGGGGACTCCAGACACTATAACCATCTCAATGAGGTGATTTATTCTAATGCCTGCAGTGTCCCCTTAATGCCACATGCGCACAGATTGAATGGCTGACCCTAAATATCGCCTTCACTGTCTACGCTTGTATAAAATGCAGGCTTTAGGCATCTGCTGACTGGACTACAATTCTTATTGTTCTTGCTCAGCAAATCGTTATGGTAATACCCATCGGATTAAAGCTATATTAACCAATTTAGATACTTGGCTGAATACCATGGGAGCACCTAAAAGGAAAATAAGTAAAAAAAAAAGCCCCATGTAAATAGTATCCTCTGCTGATATGCCAGTCCCATTGTCTTTACTCCGTGATTAGGAATTTAACGTGCCAGCGCCCAGGGGATCCAGATATTGTGAAGGCAGTAGAACCACACAGAATTCTATTCATTACCTTAAAGCAGTGCTACCGAGTCAAGCACCCCGAACTCTTAAAAATTCATCCTCCGCCCCTGGTCTACAGGGGGCGCAATCAATTCCTGGACACATCACTTAACCATCTGGATAAATGTATTGAAATATGAATGCTACATACTGAATGGCAGAACTTTTCATTACCTGTCCACCAGCGTGAACGTAATCACATTTACCTTTCTTTTGTTGTTTTTTGGGGGGATCTGATGAAAGGGTTTTACTGAGTGATTTTTAGTTCTCTGTTCTCTCTGCTATGGGTGGAAGGAATTCCCCAACTCTATTTGGAAATCGGATACCAGCCCTTCCAACACTTGCAGACACTTGGCATGAATACTACACTGTGTAAACCTGGAAGTTTGAGAAGAGCTTGCGGCGTATCACATGGCACCTGGAATTGGAATGGTGTACAGTCGGGATGGGCTACGACTACAAGCACAATGCAATCTAGGCCTTTATATAAAATGGCTTATTTACTAAACAGTCAATTGAAAATCTAATTGCAAGCTTTGGGTAAAAGAAATCTGAAAGAGTGCTTGCATTGGATATGATTGTTTTGGTAATCCAGTTTCCGATTCACTGTTTAGTGAATAAATAATGCTGTGTTACCAATCTACTCCGATCATTGCACACCTCAATTGTGTCATCTTTTTTATTTGCCTGAAGTTACCAGATATCTCTCTAGTCAATATAGATTTTTTAAAAGGTATTTTATTTCACAGATATTTTAATAACAAATAAATGGAATTTTAATAACAAAATAAATATAACATGAAAAATGACACATGAAAAAGGCATTTGAATGGAAGATAAACCAGTGTAATACAGCGATTGTTTGTTTTTGTTAGGAAATTCCATGTTAAAATGTAATCTTGGGAATTGTAGTTCAACAACATCTGGGGATTGGTATCAACCTTTTGTCTGTTGGTCAGGGCCGGATTAACATAGGGGCTGATGGAGCTGCAGATCCAGGCCCATGGAATAGCCCCATTGAATTAAAAAAAGAAAACAAAAAAACACTTTTTAAAAATGTTTTTATTTCACACACTACTCTTATGGTTTCCACCTGACTTTTATTTTAGTGGCACAGCCAGTATTTGAGACTGCCTGGCCGGTGCTGATATTGCAGTCATTCTGGCAATACAAATGCTGATATTTTTTTTCTGTATAAATAGATTATGGTGTAATACCCGCACTGGCCAATAGGGGTCGCTGTGTGTGGAGAAAGGCAGGGATAGGATGTTCAATCTATCGCCAAATCCTGTCATTTCCATCTCAAAAACATTGCGCGCATTCCCCCTACTTAACACCAGATGCGAGGTGCTGGTCCATTCCACTGTCCTTTCTCGCCTTGACTACTGTAACCCGCTTCTCAGTTTAATCTGCTTCCCAACTTGCGCCGTTACGGTCCATAATGAATGCGAGGCTCCTCTTCCTGTCCGCCCGCACCTCCCATGCCTCACCCTTCTGTCAGTCCCTACATTGGCTTCCTATAAAATAAAGAGCTCAATTTAAAATTCTGGTTCTTGCTTTCAAATCTCTACATAATGCTGCTCCCACCTATCTATCCTCCCTTATACACAAGTATGTCCCGTCTAGGCCCTTACGATCTGCTGAAGATCTTCTGTCCGTACTCCCACCTCTGATGCTCGCCTTCAAGATTTCACGAGGGCTGCACCGTTCCTGTGGAACTCGCTTCCCTCCTCCGTTAGATGCTCACCCAGTCTCATAAAAGCGTATCAATAAAACTGTTAATAGCTCCTGACTGATTCCTCTTCTGCAACTGTCACTAGTCTAATACTATCCTTACCTTTTTGTGTCATTTTACCCCACTCCCTCTAGCATGTAAGGTATCTTTTTCCAAGAAAGGTGGCAACCCTAACTACTTTTCACATACTCTTGCTTAAGTATGGAAACTAAAGAGGGATGTATGGGAACAAAACTTTTGTGGACTGGCTGAAAATGAAATTAGTTTAGGTAATGCTGACTTTGGTCTCTCTAACACTGTGGCATGTTCACTGTCTTCTTCACTCACTACATACAACTTTTCTCTGTCCCAGACTATACACCAGGAGTTTCTGTCTGCTACTAAGAAGGTAAGGAGACAAGTGGACCAGTGGATGCGAGCGCATCAGTAGATGCATTTATGCCAAGCTCAGGGTGCTGTCTGCACAGTATGCCCTTAGTTGGCCAGCTGCATGATTGGCAGGCAGCCTGACATGCATTCATGCCAGGCTGGCCTTCCAATTTTATGGGCAGCCATACCCTCTTTTTGGGCATGTTCACCCCTTTTGGCAGGTTACGTGATTTGTGTCAGTGGCACACCCTTTTACCGTGCCCATTGACTTCCAGCTTGACTGGACTCTGCTGTTAGGGGTTATGGATTTACTTGAAAGATGAAAACATAAATTAGAGAGAGATTAGCCTAGGGTATGTGTTTTCTTATAGCTGCTGTTTTCTTTCCCTCCAGCACCATCTCCATCATATACATGACGCTTGGGAGTGTTTGTGTTTTTGTTCGATAAGATTCTATGATTAGGCCCATCATAATTGTCAGCACCAGGCCCACTGGGTTGTTAATCTGGCCCTGCTGTTGGTAACCCACGACATTGAACAATTCAGCATAGAGACTTATACCTCATACTCGGCTTTGTATAAATACTTTAAAATTTTTCGTTTAAATAAATTACTCTTTTTTTTGTGTGTGTGTGTGAAAAAAGTTGTACTAAATTATTTCTGCAAATTAGACCAGCATTAGCTTCTGCAATGTGACATTTAACCTTTAGCCATTAGAAAGCTGGTTTCATAATGAATAAGATGATACAGGCAACCTACAGCTCTCTGTTGGCTGAGGTTTGTAGGAGTTGCAGCTAGAGAGAAGCATGTAAATCAACCAGTTGTAGGTAACGATCGTTCTGACGGATGTAAGGGTTATTCTTGTATTAGCAGCATTGTAAAGACAATAATCCTTCATGTTATTAATTATAATTCAACTAATTTAACCATACTGGTGAATTAATGAGTTTAATCCCCATTAGGTTCTCACCATGACTCCTCGGCTGTCCTGGCTGAGATTAGCAAGATTGATTACCTCAGCCAATCCAATGTTTTACCATAGGGGTAAGCATGGCAGCTGAACCAAACCGCTTCTATGAGCAGGACCGCTTCTATGAGCAGGATTTGATTCATTCTGACTCGGTTCTCACAGGTGAAGCACCTCTAGTGGTTGACGGAAAATTAGCCACTAAAGATGTGTTTAACCCTGCAATCAGAACCTTCTACTAAACAGCAGTTTTACATTGCCAGGTTAAAACTATAAAGCCACTGCACCCTGCCACTCATTGAGATAAAGGGTCTGCACGCCTTTACTGCTCCTTTTAATAACAGAGATCAGTCAATAGTTCAGTCACTGACAATGATGTACACTGAAGCTGTTTTCTGATTGGCTAACATCAAGTAGCCAATGAGAGTACAGCATTAGACACCAAGCACCATAACAACTGCACATAGTGGTTATTGGGCAAAGAGGCATTCAGCAGTAGCTATTGCCCCAGATTGTGCCAACACTTGTTTGAAAAAGAAAAACACACTTAAAACAGGTCACTCCTGGCGCCTATGTCTCTGTCCTTCTGCCGACTTCCACATTAGTGATTTAAGCTTGGAAAGCTATGTCTAATCTTTGAGCGCTGGGTAAACTTCTTTTAAACCATTGCCTTCACACAAAGTTCACGTCCATGTTGGCCGTGCTGCAGCATATGGACCAGGCTTTTAGTGCTGGGAAAGTACTGGTTTAAATGATAATTTTTTCAATATGCTCAGAATACGCTTGACACAATCAGAGGACGACACTAACAACAGACTATTTACAACAGCTCAGTTATGGCGTTTAGATTATATCTTTAAAGGACCACTATAGGCACCCAGACCACTTCAGCTTAATGAAGTGGTCTGGGTGCCAGGTCCAGCTAGTTTAACCCTTTCTGCTGTAAACATAGCAGTTTCAGAAAACCTGCTGTGTTTACAAATGGGTTAATCCAGCCTCTAGTGGCTGTCTCATTGACAGCCGCTAGAGGCGCTTCTGACTGATTTATACAGTGAGAAGATGCCAGCGTCCATAGGAAAGCATTGAGAATGCTTTCCTATGAGACTGGCTGAATGTGCCGCGCATGCGAATTCAGCCGATGACGGGGAAAGGAGGAGGAGAGTCCCCAGTGCTGAGGGAGCCCGGCGCTGGAGAAAGGTAAGTGTTTAACCCCTTCCTCACCCTAGAGCCTGGCGGAAGGGGGGCCCAGAGGGTGAGGGGGACCCAAGGACCCTATAGAGCCAGGAAAAAGAGTATGTTTTCCTGGCACTATAGTGGTCCTTTAATTCTGAATGTGTCAGATATCTCTCCCAAATCTCCCTGCACCTCTTATTACCCACCGTCATGCAGAGCTCTGTATCTGAACCACAATTCATTGTGTTTACATACATATCAGTATTACAGACATTTTAAATATTCCAAATCTAAGCACAGTGTTACTGTTCTCACAAAAACGTGTAAAGCTATTACAATATATATGTATTTTTAAATGACATATAGTCACAAACAACAATAAAATGATCAGAAAAATCAACCACTGGCTCAATTTTCACAATCCTTAAAATTAGTTGGAAGTGACGGTTTCCCTTTATTATATTTATCTATCCTTGTATTTAAAGGACCACTATAGTGCCCAGAAGGGTCCCACTCACGCCGGGCTGAAGGTGGAGGAAGGGGGTTAAAAACTCACCTTTCTCCAGCACTGGGCTCCCTCGGCGCTGGGGACTCTCCTCCTCCTTTGGCCGTTATCGGCTGAATGCGCATGCATGGCAGGAGCCGCGCATGCATTCAGTTAGTCCATAGGAAAGCATTCTCAATGCTTTCCTATGGACACTGGCGTCGTCTCACTGTGAAAATCACAGTGAGAAGCGCCTCTAGCGGCTGTCAATGAGACAGCCACTTCTCTGAAACTGCTATGTTTACAACAGAAAGGGTTAATCCTAGATGGACCCTTAAACTGAAGTGGTCTGGGTGCCTATAGTGGTCCTTTAACAAATATGTATTTCTAAGGTGTAGGAATAATGTACAAGTGGAAGGTCCCATCTTGGCTCCCTGTCAATCATTGTATAAACTGTCCTTTAACCCTGACAGTCAGCACAAAAGAGGAGAGGAGAATGAAATATTGTTTCTACTTCTCTCCTCTTGGTTAGTAAAGTTTGCCCTGGCTTTGCCTTATCAGAACTGGATTACGATATAATTTCCTAAATCTGTAACATTTTTCGTGAGATGCTCCATTTTAACATTAGTTAAAGGTGATTTTAAGTGTTTTGTTAAACGGTGTCTCTTTAAATAAATGGTTGTGTTTACTGACTGTTACTGATAGAAAACACCATACAAAAAGCGTTAGCCGGCCACAAGGCATATTGCCGCAGTCATAGCAAAACATCCAGCTCTCAATAACGCACTTAGTAGAAGTGTCCATCATTTAATATAGCAATTTATTAATAAATTAAAACAAAATCCGTTATTCCCACTTTAAAATGAATGTTACTCCTTTAATGACCAATAGGTACACATTGTATTCCCAGCCGTGTCTGGCCTTGGGTTTAGTCGCTACAATCGGAGAAAATGTCATTATTTCTGTTATTTTCTATACAAATCTCCATGGTAACAACACTGAATAGTCAAAGACAAAAACACATTAAAATAAAAACAGAAATGGTTCAAGTAAGATCTGGAGACTTTACAAAGGCATTATGTCCCCGTTAACCCTGTGATTGCTCGAGAGGGTTAAATACTAGAGCGAAACGCACAGCTCACCGTTCCATAAAGCAAACTCAAGTAAAGTAAAAGGTTTTACAGCACTGTCAAATAAATAAGAGAGATTAGAACGGTCGGTAAAATGTTTCCTTCACATTCCCTCGCTGTTCGCTCACACGTTCTACCCGTACAGAACTGGAGGCTGGAGGACGGACAGGGAACTACCTTTAAGAAAATAGGACGAGTATTGTTTATGCCAGGTCTAACAATAAATAAATAAATAAATTAAATGCAGAAGTATCAAGACCTTTTGAGGAGATCATGGTAATTAATGGCAGTTTCTGGGTCAGAGTTAGGAAATCTTAATGAAAAGGCCCGGTCAGTTCAATAGACGTATCCTTTGCAGGGGAAGTGATATGACAATATCTGAAATGTTTTGTTAAAAATGGGATTAAATAAACTGTAGACAACGTCAAAACGTCCCTGATCTCTTCTTAGAGATTTTATGGATGTTACAAACTATCAAACACTGCAAATGGCTGCCAAGTGATTACTAAGACACATTCGGGTCCCTTTGGACTACAGTAGGCTGTGCACCCCTGGAGTGCAATGCCCAGTATTGTCTAAAGAGGGCCCTTCTTCATTTAATTGTATGGAGGGTGCAGGTCAGCGGAGGATCCAGACATTACAATTACGGGGAGGGAGGATTTTTAGTTTGTCATTAAAATCTCTTCATAAGCTTACAGTGCTGATGGGAAATATTGTTAAGCCAGGTGATGGGAACTACATATCCCATGATGCACTTCTACCCAACAAGTTGATTGGCAGAGTTCATCTACCTATCCCCAGGTTATAGACAATTTCTTTGCATTTGAAAACCAACAAGAGGCATCTAAGGTGATTTACAAAGCACACCGTATGTTTTTCTCTCACTCTGAATGCTGAACATGAAGTTCTGGCCCTGAGCTGGGAACACATTACTTGCCGACAAGGTCATCCAAGACACCAGATTAGAAGCCCCCAGAACATGGCTTCTGTGTAACTAGCTCTGATATCTCATCTGTTCTTTAATCTCTTGGACGGACCTCTTGGTAACTATACCAGCATGTGACTGTTTATTTGCTCCATCCAAAACTGGACAGAGTTGTAAAAAGGAGACTTCTTAACAGGACATTATAGACACCTAAAGAGCATTGGGTTAATGAAGCAGTTTTGGTGTATAGATCAGGCCCATGCAGTCTCACTGCACAATTCTCTGCCAATTTAGGAGTTAAATCACTTTATTTCTGTTTATGCAGCCCTAGTCACACCTGTCCTGGCTGTGACTCACACAGCCTGTATGAGAACAAAATGGTTTCATTTTCAATCAGATGGTAACTTGCTTTAGAAGTGTTTATCTTCTTTTCTGTAAATTGAACTTTAATCACACACAGGAAGCTCCTGCAGAGTTTAGAAGGCTAATAACAGAGCAGGCGATAATACATTCTAATTTAAATAGAATGTGCAATAAAGGAATTGCAAACATAAGATCTCACTTTACAGGAAGTATTGAGGAAGCCTATGTACATTATATGCAGGATGGTGTGATTAGAGCTGTAAAAACAAGGTGATTCAACACCTAAATGGCAGAGACTTAAACAGTAAGACTGCAAGGGTGTATACACCAAAACTGCATTATTAAGCTAAAGTTATTTTGGTGACTATAGTGTCCCTTTAGGTACACTAGGTCCGTTAATAGATATGCCGGGGCTACAGAGAATGAAAACACCTAAACAAAATACAAAAACATCAAGATACACTGGTTCACTAAAACAGAAATGGTTGAGAACTAATCAGGGACCGACAGCTATGTGACCCCATGTCTGGGTGAATTCACCAAGCCTGTACTTTAGATACTTTACCCTGAGAAGAAATACTCCCCATGAATACAACCAAGTTGCCATTTGGTCTCATTTCCCTCAATAAATTAATGTAAGCAGTACCTATGATCTCCTAAGAGGTCACTGGGATGGATGAATTTACAAATGTTTCATTGATTCCTTTCTGATAATACAAAAAGAGAGTCAGAACGGCTTGAGACCATCAGGTGCCCAATATGGATGTGTGGTAAAATCGATTGTTTTAAAACCTAACAAACATCATATTTCAAGACAATTTTGTGGAAAATAAAAACAAAAAATAAACAGTTTTTTTTTTGTTTTTTATGGAGAACACTTTTTATTCCCCAATTAATTAAAATGGATGGTTTCCAGTCTTCCTTCTGATGGCAAAGATTTCTGTCGCAGTGCGGTTGGATCACAAGTGGGGCGACAGATTCACAGCATTTTAATTAAACTGTTTCAGAGTAGAACATGTTGGAATTGCTGCTTACTGTGTGCTTCTAAATACAATTCCCGCACTCAACATGTTAAAGCTCTATTTATAACATAAATCTCAGAACTAGTAACTCTGATGATAAAAGGACCACTCTGTGCTCCAAACTTCGTTACAATGTAATTCAGTCTGTATGTGAGATGCAGTATTCCAGCAAAGTCCTTGAATAAAATAGGATTCTCTTAAAAAGACCTAAGAATTCTGCTTTAAAATGTGATGAAGGCTCCTGGAATGTCTTCCTGTATAGAGCGTGCCTGCTTCACACTCCGACTGCAAACGGTCTACTTCCTCGGGAGTCCTCCGGTGACCAGCAGGAGGACTCTCCCACCAGAAGGGTGGACGTTTGTAAGTAAACAGGTTTCCTTGCAGGAGGAGTCAGATAACATCCTAGGAGACGGAAAGGAAGAAGCAAAAAACATTAAATAAACATTTTCTAAATTGCAGAGATTACTTCAAAATGTTCTTGGTTTATTCATGGTTCTGAGCCTTGAAGGGACACTATAGTCACTAGAACAACTACAGCTTAATGTAGTTGTTCTGGTGAGTATACTAGCTTCCTTCTGGCACTTTCATGTAAACACTGCCTTTTCATAGAAAAGGCAGTGTTTACATTGCCCCTAGGGACACCTCCAAGTGACCACTCCTCAGATGGCCACTGGAGGGGCTTCCTGGCATAAAACTGCACAGTAGGCAGCCCTGCCGTTCAGCGTCCCCACGCTCTACATGGAGACGCTGAATTTTCCTCATAGAGATTCATTGATTCAATGCATCTCTATGAGGAGGTCCTGATTTGCAAAAACAGCATTTGGCCACGCCCCCATTTTTGATGATGTCATAAAGGGGGCAGACCTCGCACAGGCAGACTCGCACAACGCTAAAAATAGGCTGAGTTTTAAACTTTTATAGGGGGGCTAAAGGTGGAGGCAAGCCACCTAAATGGTGGGTTTAGCACTATAGGGTCAGGAAGATATGTTTGTGTTCCTGACCCTATTGTGATCCTTTAAATAACAGCCTGCGGTTGCTTTTTAGAAATCAAGGAAGAGAATACAGTACTGGTTTTTAAGACCCCCAAAAAAATTACAAGCCTAAAATTTGATTTGATCTTCTATGTGACAATTACTCCTCTGTACGCCAAGGATGAGGTTCAAAAACAGAAAAAAGTATTGTTTTGGAAATATGTGAAGCACAATAGGCTAAAATGATTACAAATAAGGTAATTAAAGGCGGAAGTTAGAGCTGCACTTAACTCAATAAATGCACCAGGGAGCCAAGTATGTACAGAAAGCCATGCATAAGGGACCTCATTAGCCGGGGCTGGCATTACGTGACGTTGTATTGGGAGCCAGAGAATGCACAGTCACAAATAAGCTGTACTGGATTTTGGCCCTTGTTAAAGTCACTCAGATCTTTTTGCGCTACCATTTTTTATGCTGCCTAATATATCCCACCCCATGACAGATGCCATTGTAACGATATAGTCAATGGTATTCACTTCACCTGTGAGTGCTCTTAATGTTGCAACGGATTGTGGTATTTAATAGGCACTCCAGGCACCATAACAACGTAATCTAAATTAAGTTGTTATTGTGCCAGGAGGCCCCTGGGCATACTCTTACCTTCAGGGGTTAAACCGTTCTCAAAAGGTTTAACCCCAAAGGTACCTCCAGAACCGATCCCAACTCACTGCCGCCCAACCCAGGCGGCATCCAGCTTCTGAAATTACAGGGGCGCCACTGATTGGCTGAGAGAGGTCCGTTCAGGGCCGGCACGTCCATAAGGCGGCCGCCTTAGGGCGCACCAGCTCTGGGGGGCGCAAAATTCCAGTGACCGGCAGGAGGGAAGTGCTCCCTCCTACCAGGCCACCTTCTGGATCCCTGGCGCTGCTGAATTGAAATCTGACTATGCGAGGCGGTGAGGGAGCTCTGATCTCTCTGCTCTGCTCCCTTGCGCACCTTGTGTGTGTGTGTGTGTGTCTGAGTAAATGTGTGTGTGTGTCTGTGAGTTTGTGTGCCTGTGTGTGAGTGTGTGTGTCTGTCAGTGTGTATTTGTCAATGAGTCTGTCAGTGTTTGTGTGTCTGTCAGTGTGTATATCAATGAATGAGTGTGTCAGATAAGTGAGTCTGGCTGTCAGAGAAGTCTGTATGTTTGTCATTGGATGTGTGTGACTGTCAGTGTGTATACACCACTGAGTGTAGCGTGGCCAAGCGGAGCGTACCGCGATACAGGAACTTCTGTTTCCTGTACCTGGCCGGACTGACGTGAAATGCTCACTGTACCGGGATTCACTCCGCTCAGCCACGCTACAAGAAAGGTAGAAGGCACACCAGGAAGGGGAGGGGACCACTACGGGGGTGGGTGGTGTGCCAAGGGACAGGGAGAGGAGGGGAGAGATACCCTAAGGGACAGGAAAAGGAGGGGAGAGGAACACTAAATGACAGGGAAAGGGGCTGAATGTGAAAGAAACACACAGCGGGGCTTGAGAAGGGGAAAAAGAGACACACAGAGGGGCTGGGGGAAAGAGACACACAAAGGAGCTGGGAGAGAATGAGTCACACAAAGGGGCTGTGAGAGAATGAGTCACACAAAGGGGCTGGGAGGAGTAAGACACAGAAAATGTGGGAGGATGTAAGAGTCATACAAAGAGGAGAGATAGGAGATACACAAGGGAAAAATTAGGAGATAAAATACACTAAAGGGAATTAGGAGATAAAAGACACTAAAGATATTTAAAAGACGGGATAAGAAACACAAAAGGGGGGTTAAGAGGTACACAGGTGAAGATGTTTTTGGGGGGGCGGAAAAATGCGTCTTTGCCTATGTACCCAAAATTCTCTGCACCGGCCCTGGGCCCGTTGATGCTTTTAGCCAATTAGATATGTTTCTTTCCAAGCCAGTTTTGTGAATTGTGAGTCACTGATCAGTGATGCCCCTGCCCGGCGGCAGGATGCTGCCTGGGGGCAGGGAGGAAATCGGTGCTGGAGGCAACTGTGTTGTTAAACCGTTCTAGAACAGTTTAACCCCTGAAGGTTAGAGTGCACGCAGAGGCCTCCTGGCACCATAACAACTTCATTTAGATAAAGATGTTATGGTGTCTTATGCTGCTGTCCCTTTAAGCAATGGCTTTATCAAGTTGTAATGTCCATGTCCCCTTTAATTTAAAAGATATTGGGGGTTTGGTTAATTGTCCTCCCTCCAGTGTGAGCTGCTGTGTTCCATGAGTATTCTACAGACACTCATTCTGTGTGTTTGGATCAGTGGCACCAGCCTGATAAGCAATGCTTAAAGAAGGACACTGACCTAGTACAGAGAGTAGAGGGTGAGAATAAAAAAAACAACATTTTTGCACAAACGGTCCAACATGACAGTGCAGCGTATAGCTACAGATCACACTTGGTAAGTGGTATGAGGATGCACTTACCTCCAACTTGCTGGTGTCTTCCAAGCTTCGGTTCTTGGCCCTTACAGTGTTACAGAGCAGCCCCCTTTGCTCAGAGCCATCCTCAAGAGGAACATTTTGGTCTGATATGGTTTTTACCTCTGGGGGGGGGACTTTCTGTTCTGGAATACGGGCGACTCGGAATCTGGGAACCAAGCAAGAAAACAATCATTTTAGAATGACGCAGAATCATTTACACAGCTGGTGTTTTATTATACTGGTGGTTCTCACTGCAGAAATATAGCGTTATGAACACTTCTAGCCAACACGGTTTATTCTATTCTATGTTCTCTGTGTCCCAGCTCACTTGGGCTAATGGAACATTTGGTTGTTTCAACCAATGCAGGACTCAATGGCCCGTGTACCATGTTACATGGACTGTGGCATCAAACTCTTCATGGAGGATCCTGGAGTTAGCTTGTTCTCACTATCGAGATTAAATATGTAGAGGGTGTTTACTAGAGATTTTCCATCCAGAATACATGTTCCTAAGCAAATTCAAGCGTGATACGTGTTGTGGTGATGGTTGTTTTACACAATCCAGCTCTAAAATATTTTGCAGTCCTTTAAAGTCCCAGGCAGGGGCTTTATTTGTAAAGGAATTATCTTTATAAGCAAAAACAATACATTTAAACTAAAAACACTGACATTTGCGGTTCCTGCCCAGGCTCAGCTTTCTATAGCATTGCCAAACGTGTGCCATACATATCTGCACAGGTGTGATTCATGGGCAGAGCATTCTGGGAATCATAGTTTAATAGCACATTCTCTGCTATTGATTGCTAACATCTGAAATGACTCTCATAAATGATGTACGGAAGTAATTTAAATACAAAATAGCAAAATGTAAGCAAATATAGTCAATTTTAAAAAGGAAAAATTTTAGCTAAAGTTAGAGCTCAGCAATATTTGCCAAATTTTGCAATTCAGTTTTTTATTTAATATTTTTCTATGAGCTTTAAACAGTGTCTACAGCTTGATTTTCTTAAAATCTCATGGGACAATTTGTTTTTAACTATTAGTCCATTTGATCTTGTTTGTCTGCACAAATTACCAAAATTGTTACCACAAATCATGTCATCATATCAATTATGTAAAAAAAAAGTGGTGTCAGATCACTTACCGGCCAACGGAGAGGATGGTGATCTCCCCAGTCCTTCCAGGTTTGCACACTGTTCTGGAGGCTTTAGTGACATTGCTGACCGGTGCCAAGTCTGGGGATAACAGCACATCTGTCCATTTCTTCTGGCTACAGCGAGAACAGCAAAGGCCGGAACGCGAGGCCTGTCCCTGGATTGTGTGCATGTGGTTCTGGTGTTTGCACATGTGGGGCATCTGGGGGAGAAGGTGCAATCTGCAGGGCAGAGAAACAAGTCTTATTTACCGAACCTGGCATCACACCATCACTTGGACCACGGGCCCTCAAATTTTCAGAGCTCTCAGAATCTGGCTGAGGAAAACCCTTGTTTATACGTATTTCAAGAATTACCATTAGTATTTGGATTTCACTAGCTTTATAGATGTGCTAGGATAAATCAGTGTTTAATCACACGCTCACACACAATTCACAAGGATTTTGATGGTAACCTGTCTACTTGGGTTAAAGGCATACCGCCATTAATAAAGCCTCTATTTTCTCACTACTGTAAGTGTTAGGACGATATTCCTTCACATTCTCTGAACATCTGTGTAACCACGTGACATCCTTACTTTTGGGAGGCCTTGTTGACTGGTGATATCGGTTTGCTTTGATATTCTTTTAGTAACTCTTCCAATGCGACTGCATTTTCTGTCGACAAAAGACAAAATAGTGTAAGTTGTATACCATTTCTAAAAAAACAAATATATAATGTTTATCGATTGTACACAACGCATATTGTGTGCAAACATCTGCTTATTTGTGGGCGGATACAAACATTGTTATTAAATGGTTTATATGTTTCTTTTCAGACAGTGTTCTTCTGTGTATGTACTTAAGTATTTTACCAAGCAGTAATAATGAAGCACCATTGTTACATTTTATTAAAAGACCGGTTGGAGACCTTAGATCTTTCATGGACGTGGCTAAATGTGAAGTAATCAAGCTCCCTAATACACTCACCTTTCTTTTCAGTGATAAGGCGCACCAGGACTCCAATAGTATCTTCATTACCATTCTCCTCCAACATGCATGCCGGGTTAATACCTGTAGGGAAACACACCAGTAAAAGACCAGGATAAGAACCAGCCCAGATTCACCAGGTACTCTGCTACGGAGAACTGGGGAAAGTAAGATGGTATCAGGGAATAGCGAATTTCCCACCAGTTCTGACGAATGCAGGTGCAGGGTGAACCCAATGCATGTCAGGAACATAGATACATAAATCTGTTTAGATACTGTAGGCCATGATCAGCAGCCTTCTTTGAATCTGAGCTCAGGGCCCACAAACACTGCAGATTTTCATGCAGGTAAGTTATAATCTCCGTCACTGCCAGAGTGACAGCTGTGTACCCATGGTATAGTCTCACATCCTGATCTGTCAGTGGGTTCTGAGGATCAGCTTGAAGAACACAAGTTTAAATCACTGAATGACAAAGAGGATCCTACATTTCTGCAAACCTGTCAATGGCTAAATTCTGTTTACCAAGCAATGATACATTTCTCCATGCTGCACAAGTCTCTGCAAATCCCCAAAGAACTTTGTGGATCCTCATTTCAGCAGAGACACATTTCAAAGACTTAAAATTAGGTGTCAAACAAATATATGGGACTCTCGCAGGGAGGAGCCTAACTTTAAATGTGGACATAAATTGTTCAATACACAAACTGCAGAGGGCACAATTAATTTTGTTTAAAACCCCCTCATCAATTGTGTCTTTTTAAAATATCCAAATACCCAACCAAAGAGGTTACCTGGTCCAAGGAGAGAGCAAAGCATCTCTAGAAGATGAATCTCTTGTACACCGTCTAGGAGAGCAGCTTTATAAAGCATACGATCTACTTCAGTATCTGAGGCAATGAAATCTAATAGGAGGTCCATTGGGACTTTAAAATAGGCTTTCAGCTGCAAAATCTTTCAACCCTGCATCAGCTGGAAGGTCTATAAATACATCTCAAGAGGACACCTCTGTTTCTCAACACATTGCGTCTCAATCCAACTTAAAGATCAATAAAACAATCCCAGAGGATGGAGGATTAAGTGGGGAATTAAACTGTACGAATGGAAAAGCTGTGAGCGGACATTTTCCTCTACAAATCCTTAAATCCATCCATGGACCTCCTGCCATCTCTAGTTATTTACCTGAAAATTGATCTGAATGTCTGCAACTTCCACTCAATGCAGAAAACTGATATTTAAGATGTCAATTTCTGCTGAATGCAGAAAGCTAGGTATCTACAGTTACCTCATTTGTGGTCTCAGATTAAGAGAGATGTTCTTTTAAATGACAAATTAGGGAAAATATTACGTCACACACCAAGATATTTTGGGCCATTGTTACCGTAAGAATTTGACCTAGCACATTCTTCAGAATTTTTATATATCTAGATCGTATTGTTATCTCTGCAATCTGGGTTCTCTTGACTGGTCAGACTCTGGACAATAAAAGAGACTCACCATTCTTCTCTGGCGAGGCCTCTTCCTCGTCAAGTTCCTTCTGAGACGTGCAATGATAGCCCTTCTTTTTCAGCAGGTTGCAGAGAAAAATACCCATCAGCCCCATCATGCAAAACACGGGCACAATGGCAAGCACAGCATACTCAGTACCAGAGTCTTCCTTCACTCCTTTCTGTGTGTTGTTTAAAGGCATTTTGATATTAGAAGTACTGGAGGGATCTATGGTGCGTGGTGGTCGGGGTCGGAGTGTCCGTAAACCTGGAGAACAAAAATATACAGACATTGTCCATGATAATCTAAGACAGGAAGGGCAAAAACGCTGCAGTGTAACAGATTACAATGACAGATTCATTGTTATGTATTTTAGGTCGCTGTTCTGCTTAACGAGAGGGTGATATAAAACCAGAAAGAGGTATATGTCTGTGTTCATATATTTAATACAATCCTGAACATCATTCATCACTTTTAGCACATTTATCACTTTTTTTTGATTACTTTCTGCTTGTGGTGATGATTATTAGGGTTAATAATTTTCGCTGTTACACTGCTTTGCTCTGTATTTCAAATATACTTCATTTTCTCACAGACTGATACTTGACATGGATCCTAAATACCAGGTTTATTTACAGGCTATGGCAAAAGGGGCCAAAAATGTAGATCCTCAGCAGTTTTTGATTTACAATCCCCATGATGCTATGCCAGACTTGGGAGGATCTACGCTTTGGTACTTCTGGGCTAAAACATACTAACATCATGAGGTTATACAGGAACCAACCATGCCATACACCATGCAACGATAATGGAAAGTAATGTTTTCACATCATCTACGATCCAAGTAGGAAGTAATCCACAGGATCTGTATAATGTTTCTTTATTAAAACATAAAACCATGATTTATTTTACTTGTAGCTTACTAAATACAGCAAGCAGTCTGTGATTACACGCAGAGTCTGTCTGATTTAATTATTGTGAGGAACAGGTTTCTGTAGTTATAAATGAACAAATTTATAGTCTTCGGGGAAGGCTCGGGGTAGGTGCGGGGAAGGCTATACCATGTAAGTGTATTCACCATTAACGAGCTTCACTGATCTTGTTAATGACACACCCTTTGTTTTATTAGCAAATTATCACTTTGTTTTTCTGACTTCATCAAGTGGGGGGGAGGGGTGGGAGGAGTGCTCAATTTGCCCCAGGTGAGAGGAGGCACAGGTAGAGAACCCGATAACCCAACCGTTACACTAATCTGTACCATTATACAGGGACATCTGAAAGGATTAGCACGCCAGGAATGGCTCTCCATATTTTGAAAGCAGGATTTGCAGCTATGAGTTTTATGGTTTACAGGGAATATTGATATTTCACAGGATTATCTTAAATGTTTCCAGACTTTATTCAACATTTAGATCTTGGTCTTTGTCTCTGTAGGGTGTATAGTAACCTCCTTGTGGAGGGTGACATCAGCAGATAGAGTGCGGACTAAATATCTATAAATGCCAAGACAGATGGCATCACTGATATGATTGGCCTTCTCTTAATGTAACCAGTCTATTAGGAATAAAGATCATTAATATAAAGAACATTTCTTTTGACAGGGGAGCTTTAATATGCTCATCAAAAACAACAAATAACACTAATTATGCCAAGTTATTTTCAAGAACCTTCTGCTTCAGCTTTTTCAAAAAGTATTTATAGATTTGTTGTTTTTTTTTTTTATTTTTTTTATTACCATAACAGTGAGTCACACTCTGTGGCACACTGTAACATCAATGTGAATTCTCCTCCGACAAGGAAATAAAAAAGCTTCAATGAGTATGGGGAAACGTTAACAACTTCCTTCTGGTTACTGGAATGTGGTGTCAAATCAACGTGTCTCACTTAAATAAAACCCCAGCTAGAATTTAATCCCAAAATCCATTTAGAGTTTACAGGAACAACATGTCAAACTCCTTTCACGAGACATACAAATAGTAAAAATTAGGAGGACACTGTCTGCTACCAACAAAGAATGGGGTCGGCTCACCTTCACATCCTACTGTGTCTGGAGGGGCCAGTGCGCATTGGAAACAGGTGCTTATGCTTTTGGACTTTCCCACTGGAGAAAAAAACCTAAGAAAGAACAAATAAGAGATTTAAATCATTTTTATCCAATAGTTTAATTAAGTTAGTTTTTTGCAGTTTTTATTTTTTTTTTAACTTTGTTATATATTTGGGTTTTTTATTGCAGTTTTTGTAGACTTGTGTTTTTCATGATTTTCACATAACAGTTAGTGAATGAAAAATGAGAACACAACATACCCTGGCAGGCAGTCTCCGCACTGAGCGTCTGATGTGGGAGTCCCAGCCTTCAGCTGAACCCTCTTACGCTTTTCGCACAGAGTGTGTGGGTTACAGAATGATATTCCAGAATGGCTGGAGAACATTCCAGGGCCGCACTTCTGACAGGTAACACCAGCACCAGTTCCGAAACCGCACACCTGCCAATCAAACGGAGAGAAGTTCATTAACTTCCATTAACACACAATTTTCTAAATAGAAATACGATCCCTAAGTCAGACGGAAGGCCCAAGTCAACGTCATGATTACAAAGAAATATTGGAGAGTTCCATATAAGAAGTGTGTTTTAGCCAAAAGCCACAAAAAAAGAGGAAGGTTAAATGGTTCAAATACGGACTACGTTTCCAGTCTGTACTAGTGATGTAGGAGTATGCAGTAAGGCTCCTGAACTGCAGAATATGGAGCATACAGTAAGTACACCGCCTCCCATCATTTCAAATGCTCAAAGAGGAACACGTTCATTTAAAGAGGCACTCCACTGCCCAAATAAAAATAAAGCACTGTTTAGTAGATATGCCCCACATGAAAACATGCATGTAGTTGATTATGCATTTTTCATTGAGGTGGGTTTATCTAAAAGCAGCTTGCAAAACCTTTCGATCTTTTGTCTGCAGCCTTTACAAGCCCTCCACTTCTAACCCAGCCCTGACTTTCTGTGGCTGTCCAATCACAGACTTGCCAATGCAGCTCAATGAGAAGTCTTTGAAAGGCAGGTGCCCGGAGTAATTGCTGCCTCTTGATTTTAGCTCCACTGAGCTAAACAAATCAGGAAATAACAAGACCTATTGTCTGCTTGCAGGTCAAGGGGGAGGGTATAACAAGATTCATTTATAAAAGTGCCAATTTCTTTTGAAATGTATCATAAAGTATTTCAGCTAACTGAAGTGTTTTAGGGGTCCGGAGTGTTCCTTTAAGGTGGTGTGGCTATAAGGGTGTTTAAATGTACATTAATGTGAGATTTTTAGCTCTGAATCTGTTATACAGTGTAACACACTGACACTGTGGAGCTCCTAGAAAAGAGGGACAGAGGGATTTGGTCCCAAAATAGGGACTGTCACTCCTAAATAAGGTATGTAGTAGTTGATACCAGGTCACGGAGCCCACAATTGTCCTCAGGAGCAAGGCGTGGACTATAGGCAAAGTATTCCAGTCTCCAGGACATGTGGCTACTTACCCCATCTGGTTCCTCTCCCAGAGGGCATTCTAAACAGGGCACACAGTGCCCACCTTCATCTGTATATTGCCATTTACCACAGTCTGATTGGCAGCCTCCTCTCCAAAGCAGTAGCTACATATAAAAAGAAGAAAAAGAAAAGGCCTCTATTAGAATTTATTCAAAGCACAGAGTTCCACTTCAATTTGATCTTTTTTATACATTTGTCAAATGCTGATTACACTTCAGATCCAACACAGACAAGTCTCTTATTTGGTCTGAGTCACCCTTCATGGTGATAAAATAACCCTGGATCAGAGAAGCATCTCATTGAAGAGGTTATGGTGCCTGGAGGCTATTAGATGCCAAATCTGTGCCTTTTCAATGGGTGACATTATTTAAGCTTTATTCTCTGTAATATCTGATTTAACTGTTACAATGCAGTGAGGGGAACCCCCCAATGTCAAGGCAGCCCCATGACATATCTGATTAGGGGGAGTTCCTCCCAAATTCACTGCTGAATAACAGAATAGACAGAAACTATGAAAACCCATACATACATTCTTCCTCCTTTACGTATGCACTCACTACAGTCCATAGACACACGTGCAAAACGTTCCCACACACATAACACAACAGGCAGTCTTCCTATACATGCACAGCACCCTATTCCAGCAATGTCCCACACTTGTCCTCTGGTATTTCATTAATGGGGTCTCCAGAGAAAAATCTAGCACTGGCAAATTCAGCGTGAAACACAAAACAAACAGCACGTTTTCCCGTGGGAGAGCTATTCAGGGGCATCAAATGCCAAATTCTCATGTTTTGGGTCACAACACGCCCCCCTCGGGTCCTATGGGGTAATGCAGTCAACTATTTTATATAGGGTTACACATATAGATTTTAATATTTTTATATAAACACCCCCTGTACCCAGTATATGGCAATGCTGTCTCCATGACGGCACATTCACACAGCGGCCCACGCACTACCTGGGTCTGTCTGCAAGAGAATTCTATAAATAAGCAGAGGACACAGGTTTAACAAGCGAGATGATACACGGCAATGTGTACTCTGCTTACCCTGTTAATTCTACAGAGGAAACCATCTGACTCCTGGATCAATGTGATTCTCTGTGTCCTACACTCACAGCCAATTAGTAAACCTTTACCACCATAGGTAATAAAATAAACAGCATTGCAGATTATTAAACCAGAAAAGTTGAAAGATGCTGAAAACGGGGGATCTGTGGTTCTATATTCAGGGTTTACATTTACTGTCCACTCCTTTCATATGGTTCATATGCCACAAATTATCTGCACCGGCAACAGCCAATCCAGCACGACCCAAAACACTCTAACGGACCCTGCAAGTCCCAAAACATGCTAACGGACCCTGCATGTCTCAAAGCATGCCAACAAACCCTACATGTCCCTAAACACGCCAACGAACCCTGCATTTCCCCAAACATGCCAACCAGCCATGCATGTCCCAAAACATGTCAAACCCTGCATTTCCCCAAACATGCCAACGGACCCTGCATGTCTTAAAACATGCCAACAAGCCATCCATGTCCCAAAACAAGCCAACGAACCCTGCATGTCCCAAAACATGCCAACCAGCCATGCATGTCCCAAAACATGACAGCAAACCCTGCATGTCCCACAAGCAATGCATGGCTGCACAGTGGCAAATAATTCAAAATAAAATATATACACACACCCCACCAACAAGCATGGTGACATGGTGATGACCTATGAAGCAGGCATAGCATCACTGTGATATTTGGTATTCTACAGAGATAAAAGGATTCCAGAATCTCAATTTACATAGCAAAGCTACACAACACACTTTCCATTCTCTAATTACCCTGCAAGGAATAAAAGGCAAATGGAGCTCTGTGGGGGCAAAGATCTCTCATAGTTCAAATTTAAAAACGGGGTGAGAAAATACTCATTGAGGAGGGGGTTTGCAGTTTAGGGTCCCAGAACCGGCAATGTTTACCAGAAATCTTTCACATTTCAATTAATGGCCACGAACCTTGACAAGACCCTGGGTCTCAGAAAATGAAGAGATATTTATCAGTTTACCACCAGCAGAGCCAATAAACGCAGCATTCAGCTAGGAGGGGTATGTTCTGGGCGAGCCCCCAGGCACCCCGTATAGGAGGCATGCATACGGTGAACACGCTGCTATACTGTACAGATCACTGCTGTTTGCCTTTCATGTTGCCTCCTATTGATCTCTGTCCAGACACCTCCGCTTGTTTACACCTCAGTAACACTATGTAACAGACAGACCATCTGCTCCTCTCACCCAGATAATAACAGCTGTGCCTAGGACAGAAGTGCTGCCTGGATACCCGCTGGCACACACATGTACTCACAGACCATTTCGATTCTCAGATCCTCTAGAGAAGGATTGCATGGTGGCAAGAAAACTCATCCCGTTTCTGGATTTCACACCATTAAATAACATTGAAGAGTGTTCTATATTTTTTATTTTCATGAGATTCTCCTTTCTCCATACTATAGGCACCCAGCATATTTTTTCTCATTGAAGTGGTCTGGGTGCAGTGTCCCTGTTCCCGTTAGCCAGTTCCAGAGACTCTGCACTGTTTATATTGCAGAATTAGCACTGCCTCTACCAGACAGCCACTAGGGGCGCTTCCTGCTGTTTCACTCAGAGTTTGACTCAGTTAATCGACACTGGACGTCCTCATGCTTTGCATCAGGTCATCCAGCATCTTCAAAAACCCCATTAGAAAGCAGATTGCTTACCTATGGGGGAACCCTGATACCTATGGGGGAACCCTGATACCTATGCAGCTGACGTCGGAGGAGGTGAAAAGCGACCAAGCGCCCATTGAGGTCAGCACAGGAATCAGGATGGGGTGGGATGCAGGGGCAGAGTGATACTTTAGTGATAGGAATACAGATTTTGCAAAACTACATCCCAATCCAGACAAGGCACAGCCAGTGCTAACATGACAAAATGCTCTCTCTGCGCTTGTGTGCTTGTCCTACTTAGCACGTACCATTAGTTTATTGTAGTTATTATGGTACGAGGAGAAATTAAGAACGATCCCCCTATTTTTGTGAGGCTGGTTTTAAGCGGTGTAGGATTTACTGACCTTACATCCCACGGCACCCCCCTATTCCTGGTGGAAATCATTAAAGGACCACTATAGGCACCCAGACCACTTCAGCTTAATGAAGTGGTCTGGGTGCCAGGTCCATCTAGGATTAACCCTGCCTGCTGTAAACATAGCAGTTTACATATGGGTTAATCCAGCCTCTAGTGGCTGACTCATTGACAGCCGCTAGAGGTGCTTCCGCGCCTTTTACTGTGGTTTTCACAATGAGAAGACACCAGCGTCCATAGGAAAGCATTGAGAATTCAGCCGATGACGTCCGAAGGAGGAGGAGAGTCCCCAGCGCCGAGGGAGCCTGGCGCTGGAGAAAGGTAAGCGTTTAACCCCTTCCTCCCCTTCAGCCTGGCAAGAGGGGAACCCTGAGGGTGGGGGGGACCTATTAATACCGTAGTGCCAGGAAAACGAGTTTGCTTTCCTGGCACTATAGTGGTCCTTTAATCTTAACTAGCTCAGCAAATCAAATGCTTCCCCTTAGAGAAACACTGGGAGGCTAGTGTGCATGCGCAGCAAAATTAAGTTTAACTCTAGAGATTTGTTAACCCTGCAATTAAACATTCCGTTCCTACAACATGGCAATGTTTTCGGTTACAGAGTTAAAAACCCAGGGGTATGGCACCAAGACCACTTCATTGAGGCAGGCATTACACATATACATCCACACATCACAGACAATATACACTTCGTTGAGGAGAAGTGGTCTGGGTGCCTATAATTTCTCTTTAAAATGTGAGTGCATAGAAGTACAATAAGTCTGTTTGGGAGAATGAAATGGAGCTTTCAGTATGGATCACAAAGCTGCCACTAATAGAAAAAGAATGAACATGATTCAGACAGTTCTCATAAATGACAGGACCCTAGCTATAACGAACCATCACACTCCTTTACAGGGACCAAGAAATACAGATATTAAACACTATAAAGAAACAGTAAAGGACTATGGAGCGCTAGCTGGATATTAATAAGAGACGGGGATGCTGTAAGATGTATTTATAGAGCGCTCACCCGAGATGTACATTTTATCCAAATACCACAAACCAAGCATCGGCCAAGAACCAGTGACTGCAGGAGAGTCACCTTGAAGAAAACTGTGCCTGTGACTCATAAAGGGACTGGGGAGATGAGAACTAGAGGCCATCTTTATCCCATTATCACCTCTTAAACAGAGACTTCCATCTAAAACAACACAACTCCCATCACCCTTTCTAGCCAAAAGTCCAGTAAGTGGCTGCCTGAGTGTTAAATTTTCTGGTTTGACTGTCATTTGTTGATTTGAGGCAGAAGATAAGATGTAATAATGTTCTCAATTTTTAACTAATAATGGTTGCATCACAGTTCTGCGCTATGGATAGACGCACTCCCTGCAGAGACAGGCTAGTGATGCTGCACCTCACACCGCAGATTCAAGGCCCCCTTGCTTTCCCCTTCACGCAAGGCGTCCCCTGCATATTACAGCTGGGGTGATGGAACTTTCCACAGAACATTAGCAGGCAGCATCCTCACTATCAGCGCATTTAGCTCACATCATTGATTGTCATGAGGAGTCCTTCTACCTGCCAGGTCCTAGAGACAGAGGATTCTACCCACTGGCTATTCTGGTACAAATTAAACATCCTTTACTAAACGACATAGGACAGACACACACACACACACACACACACACTAGCCAAAGTACAAAATGGAACTTAGCTGACATTTTGTTTTTAGAGAGAGAAATATAAACCTTCACATTTATAAATGTAGTGTTTAATTATGCAACATTTTCCATCTTGTTAATAGACAATTACACCACATGCCTTAATTAACACATTTTATTCAGAGCCACGGGCCATTGAGGTGACCTGTAATGAGATCCACTCTAAACACACATACATCACCCACCTTACAGAGACTTTCATTGTTTATTTTATAGAAAGTTCTTATGTTCAGAGCACGATACAATAGTGAACCAGGCCGTGACACAATACCTTCTGTGTCTGTCTGTGATGTAGAGACTAAATTTTTTGCGGGCGTAAATAGGCAACCTCTGGAACTACAATTCCCACCATGCTCTGCAGTTGGATTATACGGTCTATAGCTGTGGGAGAGGCTGAATATAGCTATTTATAAAGAGTTACAGAGGAGACAGATCATCTCTGACAAAGCTGCGTGAGGATTACAGACCAGTTTGGGGAGAAAGAATGGCTTTGTCAGAGAAAACAGAAATAAGGAAATGATATAAAGGATGCAGGCCCTGAGGCTGGAATGCACTCAATCCAGCAACACAAGAACTGAATCAGCAATCTGTGTTCTAATAACATGAAATCAATCTATTTCTGGTACAATAAGATTAACACAATCACCAGGGAATCTGGCACAAATTAGGAGTTGTTTAGATGAAGCTTAAAAGGCCAAGTGGCTCAGCTGATCATATCTGGTTCACAGAGGTTGTCAAGAGCAATAAGTGGCGTGGCTACATTGCCACGGCCATTCTCCAGGACTCCCAATTCCTAGCAGACCATTGCCCAGAGCATAACACTGCCTCCGCTGGCCTGCCTTCTTCCCATAGTGCATCCTGCTGCCATCTCTTCGTCAGGTAGACAATACAAACACACCTGGCCAGCCACCTGATGGCCAAAACGTGATTCATGGTCCATCTCTCCAGATAGCAGACATGGGTCAGATTTTTTAGTTTTCTGCATTGCATGTCTATGTCCAATAATTAAAAAGTTTAAGTAGCTACTCTGTGTCCTCCTTATCACAGTTCTTGAGATGGATTCAAGCATTAGTTGTGCACAATTTTCCATCTTATTAACACAATTAAGGAAGTCTGTAAATGAGTATTTTGCCAACTGCCCAGTAAATTTAATAGTCGTTTTTAATAATTGTGGGTTTAGTTACATAAAGTATATGATCATACATTGCATAAGCCTGCCTGCCACAAGCCAATGCACCCCATTCTTGGCAGGTCGTATCCTACAAACCCAAAGCCGGCTCTTATGAGATGAAGCCAGTTACATGGGAAATACTTCCTCCTGTGAGTGAGCGAGTTTGCTGGATGCTGTGTGATTTATACATCTCCTACTGTAAATGCCAAGAAATGCTTAAAGTTAAATTGCATTAATGCTTCTAGAACGTTTTTTTTTTAAATTATAATTTTTATTGACGTTAATGGATTTCATAGAAACATTGACTAGAGATGGAGTCCGTCTGTCCGGTCTCACTGAATGAAGTAGGAGGGTAACAATGACGTCCTCCTAAAATCCTGTTTATGGTGCTAGAAGTAGCTGTTACAGGATGTGACATGAAAGCCTCAGGGAAGTGAATCTGCATAGTATACAGGGCAGGGTTTATTAAACAGTCAGTGACAGGACAATCACACACTGAAACTGACAGCAAAAACAGGCCTGCCCAACTACCAGAGATATGATGGGTTATATGTCACCAGAATACCTCCCAACTTACCTGATCCATGTGGACAGTGCTGACTTAGGAAACCTGTCCTACAGTCCCCTACCAAGAGCAGTATGAGCTGTGGAAGGACATTAGAGGGCATCTCCTCAGCTCCTCTCCAAATATATCAGCACCATCACTATTTTGTCTATTGTGATGGCATATCATTAGAGTGAAGTATTTTACCCCTAAACCCCTGTCGTTGATGCAGTTGCAAATTGCTGCAACATTCATCACTCTCAGCTGGCTAATTATGAATGAGAGCAACCTGAATGCAGAGGTACCAAAAAGAAGTATGGATTGTGTCTTAATACAACCTACCCTTGAGCATTACAGGGCTCCATCATATGTGTGGCTGTAATGATGTTGCACTCGTATAGTAGCGTTCAAATAATGTTCATAGCTTACGGCTTTCAAAGCATTATTAATAAGACGTATTAAGCTAACGAGTATCAGTGGATGCTCCATACAGTTTGATTTGTGACTGGGATACAAAATGTAGTACTTACGGTTAATAAACTCGCCGTTAAAATAAAGCGTTCCATTCCCTTCATGTTAATAACGCACGTTCTTTGCCACACCGTCTGGAACAGATAAAGAACAAACAACATTTAAATTGTTAAGCTACCAGCACCTTGCCCAACAAATCACAAGGCAATAATACGTGCAGATTATTTGATTTTCTTTATAATATGCCAAACATGAATCACCCCTAATTCATCAAAAAGTCATGCAACCAAGCACAGTGTTTATACCATAATTTGAACATTACAGAAATAATCCCATTATTGCGCACAGCAAGGCGTTCTTACAGATAACCCTCCTGCAATTCTTAACAGATTGCTTCCCTGTGCAATATCAACATTTGGGATATATTTCATGTAGAGTGGACTGCTAACACACCATGGTTTAAACCCATGCTCCAAATTTAAATTACAGGGTCACTATGCCGCAAATTAGGCAACAAACAAACATACACACCACATTTTTTTTATACAATTCTGTCCTTTTCTTTGTAACTACATTGCTTGTGGGACTTGAAGGAGGTGAAACAGGGAAGGGATATTATGGGATGGGATGGCCTGGAACTCACTGCTTGCTGAATATAGTGGGTTTATTTGCAGAGGCCCTGCTGGGTGCAGCTAGTAAGACAGGTTAATATTAATTAAAAACCTCTGGGTGGCAGGACCAGCAAATTTGCCACTGTGTCTCAAACAACAAAGTGTCCTGTACTTTCAGCTGCCAGGGTTTAGTGAACACCCCACTTTCAATGTTGGACTTTCTTAATCACATTTTAAAGAGCAAGTGTTTGCTGTATCGCTGAGATCTGAACCCAAAAACGGATCACGTTGCAGGGATTACTGTGAATACAATCCGTCACAATATATCTCACAGTCCTTCAAGCTCCCTTCATGGTGATGAATGTTACTATTTAAACAGACTCCCAGCTTCCATATCCACAGGGTTATCCTGTGTACACCATCTAATCACTCATAATACAGAACAGAACCAACATTCTAAGCCAGGGGAGGCCTACAGGAGACCAACTCCCAAGGTGCTTAGCCCTTAAGGATTTGTGGAAAAGAGTACATTTTGCGAATGTTAAAGCGTTAGTAGCCGAACTGAAATATTTCCAATTTTCATCCAGTTTTTAGACAAACTAACAATTTAGTGAATCAGATTCCAGCGTTCCGTACTTGATACCTGCCCATTTAGAGATCAAAACGTTGGCGTTTGTCCTCTCATCACCTGAAAGTGAGCAGGTCTGAATCACCTGAGCACCTGCCTTCCCCATGGCGTTTACGGCTGGCTGAAGGCATCTTAGTGTAGGAAATTACAGCCTCGTCGCAGCCAGGAAGTATCAGCTCCCCGGAGAAAATGTTCAGAAAATGACAGGCCTGGATTTAAACATTATTTACAAAGAAGCCACAGATTCTGCTCACATTTACAGCTTGTGTTAAGGATAATATTCATTTAATATTTTATTAGGGATTCTGGTTTAAAATGGGACCTAAAAATGATATTTATACAGTGTGTGCCATTTCAGATAAAATGACTTAATAAAGCTTTATTTCAGCAATCTAGGAGAAGCTGAAACGATGATCTGCTATTGCTTTATTTTCATTTCAGTTCTGCGATTCCCATATGTACAGTCTGAGCCATGGGGATATTCTGTAAAACATGGGATACAAAGGCCAAGCTGCCACTAAAGTGCACATTGAGGATCTTTCCCAAATCTCTGCCCAACCAATCACCATGTGAGTGCGGCAAGTCTACAGACGTTACACGCGTCGGACGCTGAGCGTCATGTAGAGAACAGATCAGTGTAACTTAGGATGAATGAAGTTTAGACACAGATTCTCCCATCCATGAATGGCATTGCATGCGGTCACTGCTAATCTTTAAATAGTTACAAGAAGCTGGTAAATAATATTCAATAAGTATGAGGAAATCCTGTCTGGTTCCTGTCCAGCGAGAGGGGTTTCCATAATGTACACAGTGTGAAGTAATAGTGCAAGTTTCCTGTTTAAGGACAAAGTGATATCCTTCCAAGAAAGCAGGTTGTTATTCAGGTTTACCCAGCTCTCCTAAAAGCATAGGCCGGGCAATAAAACTCACAGTATTCAATACGGGGTCACAGAGCTCCACAGCAATAAAACTCACAGTATTCAATACAGGGTCACAGAGCTCCGCAGCAATAAAAAACTCACAGTATTCAATACAGGGTCACAGAGCTCCGCAGCAATAAAAAACTCACAGTATTCAATACAGGGTCACAGAGCTCCGCAGCAATAAAACTCACAGTATTCAATACAGGGTCACAGAGCTCCACAGCAATAAAACTCACAGTATTCAATACAGGGTCACAGAGCTCCGCAGCAATAAAACTCACAGTATTCAATACAGCGTCACAGAGCTCTACAGCAATAAAACTCACAGTATTCAATACGGGGTAACAGAGCTCCGCAGCAATAAAACTCACAGTATTCAATACAGCGTCACAGAGCTCCACAGCAATAAAACTCACAGTATTCAATACAGGGTCACAGAGCTCTACAGGAATAAAACTCACGGTATTCAATACAGGGTCACAGAGCTCCACAGCAATAAAACTCACAGTATTCAATACAGGGTCACAGAGCTCTACAGCAATAAAACTCACGGTATTCAATAAAGCGTCACAGAGCTCCACAGCAATAAAACTCACAGTATTCAATACAGGGTCACAGAGCTCTACAGCAATAAAACTCACGGTATTCAATACAGGGTCACAGAGCTCTGCAGCAAGAGCATCATGGGAAAGGTAGTCCATGATTACACAATAGGTTAATTTTCTTGTAATAATTTGCATGTAGAAAAGTACATTAAAAGGGAAGTGTAATGAAGGATGCCCGAGGCCACAGACCATGCTCTGAAGACAGGGAGTGATCTGAACCCAGCCTTGTCTTCCACCTTCAATATTAAAAATAAATAAATCACATTACAACAAATACCTGCAGATACTGAGAACACAAACACGGTTTATATGTTTATAGTTTACCTTCTCCTTTATGTACTGTAAACATGCAACGTGAACAGCTCTACCTTCAGCATGATCCCATGCACGAATTACCTATAACTCATAATCCTTATAAAACGCCATCAGTTCTGATTACTTTGTCCAGAGTGAGAAACACTGTGGCCATATGGGACATGCGTAGCAATCACTGGACTCTGCCAGCTTCATGCTTCTCATATTGAATTCCATGTTCTCATACTGAATCTCATCCTTCTAATACTGAATCTCATATTGAATCCCATGCTCCTTATACTGAATCCCATGCTTCTAATACTGAATCCCATGCTTCTCATACTGAATCCCATGCTCTTTATATTGAATCTCATCCTTCTCATATTGAATCCCATGCTCTTTATACTGAATCTCATCCTTCTCATATTGAATCCCATGCTCTTTATACTGAATCTCATCCTTCTCATATTGAATCCCATGCTCTTTATACTGAATCTCATCCTTCTCATATTGAATCCCATGCTCTTTATATTGAATCTCATCCTTCTCATATTGAATCCCATGCTCTTTATACTGAATCTCATCCTTCTCATATTGAATCCCATGCTCTTTATATTGAATCTCATCCTTCTCATATTGAATCCCATGCTCTTTATATTGAATCTCATCCTTCTCATATTGAATCCCATGCTCTTTATACTGAATCTCATCCTTCTCAAATTGAATCCCATGCTCCTTATACGGAATCTCATCCTTCTCATATTGAATCCCATGCTTCTCTGATTGAATCCCATTGTACAGCGCTATGGAATCTGATGGCGCTATATAAATTATAAAATAATAATAATCCTATGATTCTCCCTGAGAAGCAGTGGACGTGTTTGACATACTCAGGCTGCTGTGGTGATGCTATATGTGATGACTTTAGACTCAGGAATGAAGGTCGTTAGGAAGTGCCTCTAATGTCTGGCAGTCAGACATCCATTAGAGGCATGTTCTGGAAAACATAAAGATTGCCATTTCTTAGTAATAGCAATGCTTTACGTTGTCTGAGTAAGGAAACAGGGTGCCGTCATTAAGAGTTAGTTATCTGGGGGCTTAGACGGTTTCTTCAATAAGTGGAGCAATCAGCAGAAATACTGTTGTTTCCATGGTGATTGATTCACTTTTAGAACTTTGAGGGTCACTTATGAAGAACTATTCTTTGCCCAAAATACTAAATGCACATTACTGCCGGCATAAAGCATGAGGACTTGGAGCAGATAACTCTGGCAATGCAGAACTAACGATTAGCGGAATATTAATGGATGGCTTGAATTTGATGCAGTCTCTTCATACCTTACCTCTGTTCGCTGACCTTGTGATCAGTTAAGAACATTCTTTGCAACCTGCTCCGAGAAAGGCTGCAGCACACTGAATGCAGGACATGCGACAGGAGCTAGCTGAATGCTGTACAGTGAGATCTATAAATAGCCTGAGCACTATGCATCATTACAATGCGGCGAATGCAACCAACCTCGACTTTGAAGCCTGTCTTCCACCTGAATACATGAAGGAATATCAAACAGACCTCGAGCCGCTATAACTCAGCTTTATGAAAAGTGCCAAGCTTGGGATATTCCTCCCATCCTGACTGCGGAGAAAGAGTAAAATCCCACAGGGCCCTCCATTCTTCAGACAGGCAAAGCAAATTCCTGGTTCTGGGGTCCCTGTCTAATCCTGAGCCCTCGGTGGCCCCCTAAGGACACCTTGTTGTTAATCCTGCTCTGCCTGATTGGCATGAAATCTGAATGAAATAAAGCTGCCCTCTCCATTATTCAGACAGCTGGTGTGAGGGGTCACCAGTTGGACTGTGCCAAGTAAAGGGCATTGATTAGCATTTAATAGTAGTATGTCCACATAGCTGGAGATGGTTGATCCTCAGTGCTTCAGAACAACTTGCAGTCAGACTCTTTGAAAATGATAACAGTGTGCTCAAATACAAGTAAATAATAATAATTGCATTACAGTTATATCACTCATAGCTCTCACCCTCGTACTCTGCAAACATACCTTTTTTTAAAGCCATTTTTGAGTCGGAGTTGAAGCTTCAAACCAATACTTTTTATCATTGTGTGTCTAACAATTAGGCAATTACAGCTCCCATTACTCTCAGCCAACACTTGTGTTTAGTGGTTATGGTGCATGGTGGGGCATTTCCAAGTGGGAGCTTACTGAAATATTAGAGAGGGTTAGAGTGCTCATTTTACTCTGAATGTCTTGCATTGTGTGGAAGACAAAAGGCGCTCAGACTGACGCTGAATCAATGAATAATGCAAGGGGATTCTGAGCGAAGGGTACTGGGTGTCTGGTTTCACATCGTACTCTATAATGCAGGGCTATGCACAGGAGACACTCCAGCTAATGAAACCCTGGACAGGCAGGGCAGTGTATTCATGTTTAGAGGACTCTTCTCTCATTAGACAGGAGGCTTTGAAACCATCCTGCATGAGGAATGACTGAACTGAGACCCTCCAATGATCAATCCAATCAGGGCCCATTTCACACATGGTACACATTGATTCATTAAATGAACCTCTGACGTCATTCAGGGATATAAAAATAAAGAAATAAATCACAACTTCAAGATTAAATGGAAACGCCATACATCTGAAAAACGTGATTGGATATAGGATACGCTAGAGCTGACTTGCGCTATTTTTAGCTCTGGGATATTAAAAGCCAACATTGTAAATCACTGCATCATCCGAGAACGTATGTAGCCCTAATGGAACGAGCAAGCAGCCACTGGGGACTGCACTCAGCTTTACAGAAACTGTGTGCATCGTTTATCTAGAGCACAGGTGTACTTAGCACTTTACAGGTTACATTACAGTATAAGGACAGAAAGTGCAGTAGGTGCACAGTGTATATACTTTATTTACACCAATAGGTGTACTTAGCACGTTACAGGTTACATTACGGTATAGGGACAGAAAGTGCAGTAGGTACACAGTGCATATACTTTATTTACACCAATAGGTGTACTTAGAACTTTACAGGTTACATTACAGTATAAGGGACAGAAAGTGCAGTAGGTGCACAGTGTATATACTTTATTTACACCAATAGGTGTACTTAGCACGTTACAGTACAGTATAAGGGACAGAAAGTGCAGTAATTGTGTGTGTGTGTGTGTGTGTATGAGTCAGTGTGTATCAATGCGTGTCAGTATGTGTGTCAGTGTATGTACCCTAGTGTGTTTCAGTGTGTATGTGCGGGGTAGTGTATGCGCATACATCCCAGCAAATCAAATTCCAACTCTACAAACAAACACATTCAAAACACTGAACACAAGTACACCACTGCTTTCAAATAGTACACACAAACATACAACTGCATTCAAATGGCAACTCTACACACGAATACATATATATACACAAACAAGCAAAACATGCTTACATTTGTCACCAGTTATTTTTCTATTAAAAAGTATTTATTCATAAACATGTAATGCTTTTTTTAATAACAAATACCATAAGGTACGTAATTAATGTATAACTTTGCGCGTGGCCCCCGGATAAATCTTGTTTTTTTAATGCGGCCCTCGGATTAGCCAAGGTTGGACAGTCATTGTTGTTCCCATTTCTCTGGTAATTGTCCCAGCTGGACACCATGTAACAGGTTTTGCATAGAAGGGTCAAGTAGCCTACTCAACTGGAGAACATCAAATCGTCCACCAATCCGAAGACCAGCTCTGTGTATCCATGATCAGATCACATGAAAAATGCCAACATGTGCCAACACTTTGTATGTTAAAACATGTAACCTGCATTCCTGGACAGGCTTGAAAAGTACGAAATGCCACTACATTGGTTTAAAATATTTATTTAGTAGTTACAGCGTTATAAGCAGTACCTGTGTCAAACCCTTGGCAAGGTCGTGTCTGTCCACCATTAACCCAGAAATCAGTAACACACTTCCACTGAGTTGGGTAAAAATGAACATTTAGAAGCTGGATATTCAGTTCAAGCTGAAAGAGTGCTGTCTGTACATATATCTGACTTCCATGTATCCAGCCTTACACAGTAGGTGTCGTCAATCCATGATACATACAGACAGTGGTAGATTAAAGTCAGCATATAATTTGCAAATAAAGCCATATTTATTTATAAAATATTTTACCAAGAAAGATACATTGAGATTTCTCTTGTTTTCAAGTATGCGCCCCACAAAGTACCTGAATGCTGCTGATCCCTCAAATTGTACCACGTACATACACGTCATAGAAAAAAAAAAAAACATCCATATCATGGCGAGGATTGCCAGCAATACACAGATCTGCCCTTATCTATTGCCACAGACTCACAGACTGACAACAGATAAACGCTGGGGAAAATAAAGTTTCATTCTCTGCTCTTTATGTTAACGGCTTATTACGCACCTGAATGTGTATTTCATATTTTGGTGATTTTTCCAAAATAACTGTACTTGGACCCATTCTCTTTAATATTTTTATTAGTGATATTGCAGAAGGTCTTGATGGTAATGTATGTATTTTTGCTGATGATACTAAGATATGTAACAGGGTTGATGTCCCAGGAGGGATAAGCCAAATAACAAATGATTTAGGTAAACTAGAAAAATGGTCAGAATTGTGGCAACTGACATTTAATGTGGATAAGTGCAAGATAATGCATCTTGGACGTAAAAACCCAAGGGTAGAGTACAGAATATTTGATAGTCCTAACCTCAACATCTGAGGAAAGAGATATAGGGGTGATTATTTCTGATGACTTAAAGGTAGGCAGACAATGTAATAGAGCAGCAGGAAATGCTAGCAGAATGCTTGGTAGTATAGGGAGAGGTATTGGCAGTAGAAAGTGGGAAGTGCTCATGCCATTGTACAGAACACTGGTGAGACCTCACTTGGAGTATTGTACACAGTACTGGAGACCGTATCTTCAGAAGGATATTGATACCTTAGAGAGGGTTCAGAGAAGGGCTACTAAACTGGTTCATGGATTGCGGGATAAAACTTACCAGGAAAGGTTAAAGGATCTTAACATGTATAGCTTGGAGGAAAGACGAGACAGGGGGGATATGATAGAAACATTTAAATATATAAAAGGGAATCAACACAGTAAAGGAGGAGACTATATTTAAAAGAAGAAAAACTACCACAACAAGAGGACATAGTCTTAAATTAGAGGGACAAAGGTTTAAAAATAATATCAGGAAGTATTACTTTACTGAGAGGGTAGTGGATGCATGGAATAGCCTTCCAGCTGAAGTGGTAGAGGTTAACACAGTAAAGGAGTTTAAGCATGCGTTGGATAGGCATAAGGCTATCCTAACTATAAGATAAGACTAGGGACTAATGAAAGTATTTAGAAAATTGGGCAGACTAGATGGGCCGAATGGTTCTTATCTGCCGTCACATTCTATGTTTCTATGTTTCTAATAACAGGAATTCCCCTCCCCGCCCCCCCTTTTTGTAAAATGAGTTTTTGCGTTTCTGCATCCAGCAAGACTTTACATTTAAACTGTCTTTAATACAGAGATCTCGTAGTCACGATATCTAGACCAGAGGTTATAAACGGGTTATTAGCAATATCTAGACCAGGCTGACGACACCCCCACCCATTCACTCATACTGTGACCATAATTAAAAGGAACATTAAAGTCACCCAGACAACATCATCTCAACAAAGTGATCTGGGTGCAGGGATCTGGCAGGTTTAACCCTGCAATGTAAAGTTTTTGTAGAACTGCAATTCTTACATTGTGGGGTAACAACTCTAGTGGTTGTTTTATCTGACTGCCACTAGAGGCACTTCATCCTCCAGAGCCCTGGACTCAATGGCTGCTGATTATTTGATTGGAGGAGTGAGGTGTTTGGCTGAATATGCCTTATTTCAATCCATTGTTTCTTTATAGATTAGAGGAGATTGCAGTGGATTTTAGCAAGCATACTGACATACTTTTAGGGGGAGCGGGTGACTTCAGTGAAGAAGCCCTTACCTAACTTAAAATGCATGCACATCAGGTCCCCAATGGTCCTCTCTGAGGAGCATTGTATTGGACCAATGATCGATGAATCAACGCAAGCTCTGTGACGTGTCACAAGGACACTAAAGCATTAGAAATACAGATTTGTGACATTCCAAGTATTACAACATATGCTTATTCTATCACTACAATGTATTATAGTGGTTGTGGTGTTTGTTCCTCTACGAGACCAATTTCCCCACCTCCTCAGCCTGAATTAGATAATGACATTTCACCTTCCTCGTGATGTTGAAAGCATTTCTACTAGTAAGCAGGATTCTGCTGTGCCAAATTACACTTAACTACTATTAGTGTCACAATGTTGACACAACTACTTTACTTTAGTTCTACTTCGCATCATAAACGTTTCTCTTCCTCCCTGCAACTTTATGGTCCAATTTCACAAAGCTACTGAAACAAAGACCATTCATTTACACGGCTCCCAGCAACTTTAAAGAGAATACAAACACGTATTCCTAACATTACACTGCTGGTGTGGCTGTTTAGGTGGCCAGCCCCACTCCGATCGCCTGAAAATGTTATTTTACTCGCCTTTTTTCCCGTGCCCCACTGGTCTTGCTGTGGCTGGACCCACCTCCATGATTGAGATCATCAATCTTGATGATCTCAGCCAATCCAATGATTTCCCATAGGAAAGCATTGGGAGTATAATGTGCATGCACAGCATCTCCTAGAGAAACACTGGATCAATGCATCTCTATGGGGGAACGTTCAGGGCCTCCATGCAGAGAACACCTTTCAGACGGCCTCTTAGTCAGAGTTCAGCTTCCAGAGGCGGTCTGAAAGGTGTTAATAGGCACCAATGTAAACACTGCCTTTCCAGGGACAGGCTACAGACCCTAGAACTACTACAAGCTGTAGTTGTTGGGGTGACTATAGTCCCGTTAAGGTACTGACTAAAATTTGGAAGATATTTCACCTGTTACCACATTCTTTATTTACTGTTTTTACCTATAGTTTACTACTGTAATATGTTGTACTTGCAGTTACATGTAGTAATTAATGTCTTGGCTGATACACTTTGGTTGGCAAATATATCAATTGTATACAACAAATGGCTACTCTACCCCCCCTCCCACTGCTTGCCGCCCCCAAACCAAGCTGTAAATTCCTCCAAATAACTGTGCATCTCTTTCACTAGGCCCAATTCCAGAAAGACAGAGAATATGAGAACGGATAAAGGCTTAGAGAAACTCAGTACCTTGCCCTTCAGTATATGCCCACTCAGGTCTCAAAATAGTCTTTGCTCACTTGTGCCATTGCAGAGTGAATATCTACCATTGATCCCCCCATAAGAGCAGTCCCAAATCAAAATAGATTCCCACAGATTCCTTCTAACATTATAGAATGCTCTTCCAGCTGTTTGACACCACAGTTAATCACTTCCTCATTCTCTTCACATGTTACCGGTTACTGTAATTCTACTATTAATTCTCCCTGCCAACTCTTGTCTCATCTCCTCGATTTAACCTTTCGATTGTAAGCTCACGCGCTCTCTAGCAAAAATCTTCAGTGGCCAGATCTCCGCTGGCAGGCAAGGCCATCTTTACCCCTTGCATTGGTTGGTTTATATTTTGCTGTTTTATCCCCAATTGTACAGCACTCTGGAATATATCGGCGCTTTATAAATGCCAGTAATAAATAAATAAAATTCTTCACGCAATAGTCTTAAACAAAACATGTTCAATTGATTTTGTAGCCATGTCATTGGCTTTTAAGCTACCAGTGCCATCTCCTGTCACATAACAAAAGCAGAACGAAATGTATAAATAGAGTTCTAGCTCATTATTGTAGAATTTGAAAGTAATAATGACAATGTTTATAATACTACGCGTATTTATAGTAAGAGTGGGTGGAACTGCACCAACAATGAAACCGTATACCCAAATAAATAATTATTCAGAATTCCCTTTCTGTGATGAACTGGCCTTTGGCACGTGTCATCGCATATATGAGAACTAGGGAGATAGGGTTTCAAAATTTTGCTTAACTTGTAAATTACTTCTGACAATTTTTATTTTTTTTAAATAGGATTTGGGTCATTTACTACACTTATTATTTTCTTTAATATTAGGAGAAACAAATTAAAACAAGATTGTGCAAACAATGTGGAGACAATGTATCAATAAGGGGGTTCCCTTTCCATGAATAATTGAATGCTACGTACTGCGGGGCAGCGTCATTTATGCAAATACCAACAGCACTGAGAACATGGTCACTGTGCCAACGTTAAACCGGAGGTAGAAATTCCAGATCAGCAGTTCACGCTGGCACACCTACACAAATCACATACGTCAGACATATATTATAACTAATTCAGCTCTCACGTCTTCACCTTTACAGGAAGTTTATTATATAAAATCCCTGTGTCAGCCCTAACCAGAGGGCGAAATATTGGCTTCCTCTGCCCGCGGGATGTGAAGGCACAGGTAGCCAAACAGTTATGTAACAACTCTAGCAAGAAGTTTGCAGGCGAGGGATTTATTGGAAAAGATATTAACTGAGATCTGATCCTCTCCCTGTCTCACATTACAAAGACAATGGATCGGGTGGGTGAGGCCTGGCCTTTTTAGCAAGACAAAAACCTCCATCCCCCCTTCCTCACACAGACAATTGTCATTATGCCCCAGGGATAGGACCAGGCTTTATTATCACAAGAATTCTAGCACATCTTTAATCCTGAAGGGGTTAATCGGCCATGTGCATGGAGTGCTCAGCTTTGGACTTTCTATAGGGGCATCAAGTTACAGATCAGCCCACCCAAAAATAATAGAGAACATTCCTGAAACCCCATGGGCCGGGGTAGGACAGCCACCTGGGGGGTTTGTCAGGAATTTAAAGCAGACTTCTCAGTATCACAGTATAAACATACCCTGTGAGTGCTCTTGAAGTTTTGGTTGGTATGCAATGTATCTATACAAGTTATGTATCTACAGCAGAGATTAACATTACAAATCCTAGTCTACAAGCCAGGCCTTAAACGTTACTAGCCGGGAGAAGCCTGGAGGGTCCCTGGCACACTTAACAAGAATGAATTTCTACTCAATGCAAGAACATATGCACTCGCCAATGGTTAGAGGTTATTTTAAGCCCTGTCTGCAATATATCTGTACACTGTGTCCTTTAATAACCCACAGCATTGCTAAATCTTTACATAGCCCTGCAAAGGAAAAACGAGGCCAAGGTGCAGCTAATCAGGATGCCTGGGAGGTCCAACCTTCTTTAGATTGCGTTAATACAATTTCTGTAATTAAAGGGACACTATGAGAAGCATTACAATGGTGGAGTGTGATACCATATTAGAAGTGTTAGATTGGATAAAAGTCATCAAAACTCATGACATCACCCGAGCAGGAGCAGCTATAGAGAGGAGAGTGTCCTGATGCAGGAGGAAGGGTACGTTTTTTTTTTTTTTTTGAGTGGACAGTAGTGTAAAAGAAAAACCCTACAAAAATAATGATATATATATTTTTTTAATATTAGTGCTACTTTAAACCACTACACTGTTAAAGAATCCAAGTTTTGTGAAACAGTTTGAACATTTCTCTCATTAAATAACACCAATTTTCCATATTTTTTGCTTAGAGTAATGATGGCGGCTATTCGAGAATGAACTGAAATGACCTGTGTCATTGGGTTTCCAGTATTAACCCCATCATTGAAAGATGGGTTTGAAATGCACTGCCCGTACTTCAAGTCTTGGCTATTAAATCCCACACATCGGAGTGTCAGGCTGACCGAGAAGTATGAGAATTGTAGTTCGGGAGCAGAGAAAAGGGGTGCCATGTTTCTATACGATATGGCACCAGTTATTATATACACTATATATACCATAGATGGGGCTTGGGAACACAAGCTGGAGATTTGAGAGATGGAACTTTCCTTGTTAGAACATCATATTAACTGGTTGTTTGCCAGACTCCCTTTGTAGTGAGTTGAAGACTGAATTCACATTTTGTGAGGATAAACCAAGCTAACACCGCTGCTTTTCACAGCTTGGCTTTTGAAGCCTATATATAGCAAATCCGTTGTCAGTTCTTCACAGTCTCTGGTTTAGTGACTAGAACAGGAAGGGATTTTGGGTGATCCATTTTTAATTGAGAAGCTAGAATTGTTTTTTTACTGAGTAGAAGTGAGAGATATCCTTCCTCTGTGCAGTCTCTGGAGCTAATCACAGCACTCTAATTAAGGTTTAACCCTCTGTATCCCAATTAACATAGGGATACAAAGCAATGCATTAAAGTAACTCTCCATGCACCATAACCACTACAGCCCGCTGTGGCAGTTATAGTGCTAAGAAACAGCCCCTGTAATTTGTCAAATCAGATTAAAATAGTTTGAAAACTTATCTGGGTCCCCCAGGATCCCAATGCAGCATCCAGATGTCTCTGTAGACCAAGCATGGCCAATACATGCGCACACTTATTGGATGAGAGCGAGTACAGCTGATGCTCTCAGCCAGTCATGTATAGCCCCTCTCAGCTGCAGGAAGCTAAGTACATGTTTAAACATTTCCATTCCATTGAGATAATTGTACTTCTTAATTTAGTAATAGCAGAACAGGTAAGTTACCAGAGCACTACAAACACGCTGAAAAAGACTATTCACCTCCAACTGTCCACAAAATAAACCACATCAATGAGCGGAGAGAATTACACCTTAGTCAGTAAGGTCCAGGACAAAGTGCTTTATATGGAGCCATCAGCAGAAGCAATACATTGGTTGCTATGGCGATTGCTCCAAATAGAATACTCTGCACTAGAGTGGTTCTAAGGATGATTAATATGGATCTATATTCAGAACGCAAACTTGGTAGCAATATGCCAGATTACAGCCGACTAAAATGGAACATCATTTATATTTATTTTACTGGAGTAAGCGCGAGGTTTGGACACTGGAAACTCCCCAGGCACATCTCCTGTTTCACATCAAACATGAACTTCATATCTTGCCCCCTCCAGTTCCTCCATTCCTCCCCCCCATACAGTTACTATTCTGAGTGAGGACCTGCCTGTTCTGTCTTTTAAAGGCAAACTTTGTGAAGCAAAACACGCCAGTAATATCGCTACACATGTAATGGCCTGCATGGTTGGGTGAGGCAGGAGGAAAAACGATCCCCAATCATTTTAAGCTTTGTAGAACTACAACACCCATGATGCTTTGCCAGCAAAAGGCTAATAAGGTATCATGAGATTGGAGATCCTACAACATCTGGGGGTTTACCCTTCTGCCATTCCTAGATTCTACAAGATGGGAGCTCTGGCTAATTGCAGAGACCCTGAAAGTAAAGTGCGACGAGTAAATGTCAATAAACATATTCAGCATCACACAGAAACACGACTGTCCCACCAAAGTCTCTTGTACACAGATTGGTTATCATCGCTATTACAGATCCACGAATCGTAACAAATAACCAGAGGCACAAGTTATTTTATTATTTCATTGCACTATAAATCATTAGATTGCATAATACCCAGTCCCTTTACAATTATATACAACAGAGACAAATTTCCTATTATTATATACAGAGAATAAAACTGTACATAATTGGCCCAACATGTAGTAAAACAGCAATGCAAGGGTCAACAGTAACAAATCCCCATGATTTCACTTTGTGGCTATATTGGTATCAAATTGTAAAGCAGACAGACACCACCTACATGTAACATGGTCTCTAGGATATCTGCCTGCTGTCTGAACATCAGATATCCTCCTGTCAATCCTCACTCTTAGCCAATCTCCAGACCCACCACCCACAAGACCAGATTGTCACATGTGACTATACTTTTATCCCTTACACTAATACATAAATATATTCACAGCGTTATCAATCCTTGCAGACCTTCTCCATTCTTTGTAACATGGGCTGTATTCAATAAAATGTGTGACTCAACTCCTGTCTGCATTACTTCTAAAGACTGTGTACCTCCATCCATTGGCTGCTCTTCCCATAAAGAATACAACACATTTTACAACTATGCTCCCCACACACACACACACACACACATCTCTTGTCTAATTACTACATTATTAAAAATTCTCTCCAGCTCTATTTTTTGTCTTTAGAGGATCTTTGTATTATTATACACATTTTATTTATATTTAAGACCCCACACGCGACAGTGCTACTTCTATCTTTAACCGCATACTGTAAGGGAAATGTATAGATGATTAAAATAAACAAGGGCCATATTTAACCTTTAATAGTTATGGCGTCCTGTTTTAATATTCCATTAAAGCGGCTTATTTATCTCTGTGTAAATTTGCGTTTTATTTTTTCGGTCATTTTACTAGCATGCTGTACCTTGTTTGATAATAAGCAGTTCTGTTCCAAGTTTTATTTGGTAAATAAATCACCACCTTGAAGCTTTTTACTGTTTGTATAATTAGATGTCTGGGTCACATGTCCTGGGTGCATGTGTTTTTATGACGTTTACATTTATACAGCGGACGCCATTTGTTTGATCCTCTAAAGTGGCTGCGTTTGGGTTTCAAATCTTTAATGTGTGACACGTCATGATTCCCCTTTATTCCAGAAGTTTGGTCCTTAAGGGGTTAAATGAACAAGTTATCTAGGAATGTGCGCAGAACAGCGTCCGTTTCAGGTTTATATAATATTTACTGTACAGGGGCTGTAATCACTAAGCTGAATGTGGGGATTGAAAAACGTAGACAATTGACAGCTTAATGAATGCCTCTAATTAAAGGTGTCAAAAAGTAGATCCCCATCCGTTATAGAAATAAAACTCATCACCCATAATGTAATCGTTGCCCATAACATTTCAGTACTAGAACAGTTTGAGGAGCTATTGTTTACTTACTGATATGTGGCTGCAAGCAATGCATTCTGGGAAAAAGCTATACGCATGGGAAAATGTGACTGGGCGCATGCACATCCCACTGAGGGGCATAGCTTGCTATGATACTGACATTACCATCCGAATTCTTCAAATAAATTATTTTGTATATGAGCACCACCTACAGAATAATTTGTACTTCTATAATAGAACACTGGGCTATATGCGTACAGTGGGATCACTATAAATTGGTGTGGAAAAAAAAAACATCTGTGATGTCTTAATCCACTATCTCAGAGAAGGAGAGCTAGGTTATTGGGATAATTGCCCCAAATAAAGACACCAGCTGGAATTCAGGCCAGTTGGAAGGTATGGAAAGGGCAGCCAGTAGTGATATAGCCATCACTTCTAACACATATCACTGGAAGTGCTGAACTGTTTTGAACTGAATATAATTGACAATTACACTGCATTTGACAGCCAAGCCAAAGCTCAACTACCCTCCTCCCCACCACCCCCCCATCCGGCCCTCCAAATAATGTCCTGCTCAGCAAAGCTACTCCCCTCTAGCAATTAAACCCCAGCAGAGCTTCAAAGAAATTCAGATCCACAAGATACAGACACAATTAGCCCAGAGCAGCCAGTGTTCCAGCGCTCTCTATACTATTTGTCATGTAAATGTCTGCAAACCAGGACACAGTGCGCAGGATAATGAAGACACAGGCTATTTTAAGACTGCACGCTGTACGTATTACCAGCTACAACACAATTGTGTGTCAACAGCCTGGCAAAGCACAATAAGAGCAGCATTGCAAGGCATGTGATCCTTCGCAAGGTCTTACAGCAAGAGACACCACACACACACACAAACATTCCAATAAAATCCCTGATATTCTGCAGCTGCATATACACCAGCAATGTCCTATGTGACCTCCTGCAAAGGACATCAGACACTTATTGAATGGGGAGCTCACACAGCAACCCTCCCTCCTCCAAGAGGTCACTAAACTACAACACCCATAATGCTTTGCCTGAAGCTCACTTAGAAATTACAGATGTGTATAATATTCAAAGTTATGTTATGGATTCAGCAAATTATTTTATCCTTCTGCCTCAGTTAATAATAACCTGCATTCATGTTAAATACATAAATGGTGGGAGCAATAACTCTAAACAGCTGGACAGGCTGCAATCCATACCCCCTGCTTCACCGAGAGATTCCACACCAGATCCATGCATGGGTCACACAGGCGGGCACCCGCATGCCAGGGATGGTAAGGGAATACCCGGAGGGATGTGGAATGTTCAGAGGGACTGGTCAGTGGGTAGAGAAGAAGTGTCATGGCTGAACCCAGGGGCTTATTTGTTAAACTTATTTAATTCACCAAATAGGAAGTGGTGGCAAATTAGCATTTTAGGATGAAATAGCCAAATTAACTTTCAGAGCCTAAAATATTGTAAATTCAGCCTTCAACGACAAAGCCAATGTTAAAAAAGCCAAGCTTTGACTATAGGAGTATTGAATTCCCCCACGCATATTTTGCAATTCACTTGTGTTTAGTGAATAAAGGCCCACAATTTAGTCTGCATGTCTGGAAAGTAAACTTGGCAAACAATGACTGAGTATCGGATTCGAATTTGCAGTTGACTTAGTTTTTGGAATGCACCCAAGTTCAGAAAGAAAAAAAAAAAAAACACCTTTTGGAAACTTTAGTAGACTTACTGAATTCTGAAATCACAAGGATCTGAGCTGGCAAAAATCCCCGCTACGCAAGGCTGCAAAGTCAGAACTCGGAAAGTGCCAGTGAAAATGGATGATTCCAAGAAAGATAAGGTCATGCTGGAGAGATATCACGGTGTGGATGTACGGGACAGGCTGAAATCAAATTGTATTTTAATGCAGTATTCTAGAGACTGCAAATACGGCAAGCAAATCATGATTATTAATTATTATTATTATATTATTTATATAGTGCATCAGATCCCGTAGCGCTGTACAATGGGTGAAGATGAGACTCAAACTCAGATAATGGTCAATCAGATGGCTCAGAGATGATTACATTTGGGCACTCTAACTGCGACAGGCTCCATTATCCATTACTAATTAAAAGGGTTACTATAACACTTTTGAGAGGGGGAACCTAGCAGGTGTAATATGCCCTATTGGGCATTGTGGAGTAGGCCCCCTTCTCAATGACTGTAAAACCTGTAATTACTATTATTTATATAGTGCCAACTTATTCCGCAGCGCTTTACAATATTATGATACAGGGACATTTAATAATAAATGAGACAATTACAAAATGTTACAGGAAAGATACGTTGAGGACCCTGCTTATACGAGTTTACAATCTATGCTAGAGCATGGTCCGCCAAACTTTGGTCCTCCAGATGTTGCTGAACTAAAACTCCCATGATTCTCTGGCTATCTATTTCATTCAAAGAATCATGGGAATTCCTGCTCAGCAACATCTGGAGGACCAAAGTTTGGCGGACCCTGATCTAGAGGATAAATGGTTTCACTCACCTGAAGTCCAGCGCCGGACGAAGCATCCGGTGCTACTTTTATGCGCCCCCTCCTGACATCACTGGGGTTGCGCGCATGAACACGCTCCGGACTGGCGATAGGAGGGAGGCGAGGCTTTATTTAAATTTAAAAAACAAATACCCAACGGAGGGAGCCTGGGAAATCTATCTTAAAGATTTTAACATCTGTCATAGTGCGATGACAACAGACGTAATTTAGCCACAGAGTTCTGGACTGCCTAAGTCACGCGTACTGGGGGTGCAATTAGTCTGAAGTGGTCATGGTGGTTGGAATAACTCTTTAAGTATCTAAAAGCTGCTGTGTCAGTGGTGAGCAATGACTGCACCAGTTATCAGTGGAGCTAGGGATCCCTTGGGATTTAACACTCCTAATATAACACTCCAGAGTGCTTTACAATTTATTCAAATAACAGAATGAATACTGAGAACCCTGCCCGTGAGCTTAACATCTATCTAGAGCAGCGGTAGGCAATCGTTGGCACTCCAGATGTTGTGGACTACATCCCCCATAATGCTCTTACACCCATAATGCTGGAAAAGCATCATGGGAGGTGTGGTCCAAAACATCTGCAGTGCCAAAGGTTGCCTATGCCTAATCTAGAGGATGGACATTTTAAATTGAGGCAGAGCGTGCGTCGGTCCTAATGTTGAGTCTAAGCACCCATCTATCTACTATTGCACCCATGCTTCTCATTCTGCAAACATCATACAATAAACATACAGTAATATACAATACATGGCTCTCACATACAGTAATATACAATACACCGCTCTCACATATAGTAATATACAATACACAGTTCTCACATACAGTAATACATATTACATGGCTCTCACAGTAATATACAATACACGGCTCTCATTGGAAGAGGATTTATTTGTGACTGACAGAGGCCAATCATTAACTCTTCATCAAGACACCAGCACAACTTTATCCCATCCTGTACCCCATGAAAACATAAAGGATTGCCCTCCACACTCACTGAGTGAGCTCCAAACCACACTTACCAACCCTCACTGAGTGAGCTCTTACCTCCTGCTCACCTACCCTCACAAAGTGAGCTCTTACCCCCTACTCACCCACCCTCACTGAGTGAGCTCTTACCCCCCACCCTCACAGAGTGAGCTCTTACCCCCCACCCCTCACAGAGTGAGCTCTTACCCCCCACCCTCACAGAGTGAGCTCTTACCCCCTGCTCACCCACCCTCACTAAGTGAGCTCTTACCCCCCACCCTCACAGAGTGAGCTCTTACCCCCCCACCCTCACAGAGTGAGCTCTTACCCCCTGCTCACCCACCCTCACTGGGTGAGCTCTTACCCCCCAGCCTCACTAAGTGAGCTCTTACCCCCACTCACCCTCACTGAGTGAGCTCTTACCCCCTACTCACCCTCACTGAGTGAGCTCTTACCCCCACTCACCAGCCCTCCTGGTGAGCTCTTGCCCCTGCTCACCCTCACTGGGTGGGCTCTTACCCCCACTCACCCTCACTGAGGTGAGGCTCTTGCACCTCACCAACCCTCACTGAGTGAGCTCTTACCCCCTACTCACCCTCACTGAGTGAGCTCTTACCCCCACTCACCCTCACTGAGTGAGCTCTTACCCCCTACTCACCCTCACTGAGTGAGCTCTTACCCCCTACCCACTCACCCTCACTGAGTAATAAACTCTGCCCTCTCATTGTCACTCAGTCAGTGAGTGCTCCCTTACCTGTCAGTGCTGGCTCAGTGCTGGCTCAGTGCTGGGCTCGCGCTCTGCTTTGGGAGATGCGCAGTTGCTATAGTTACTGCTGTCCCGGTACCGGCTCGCGCTCCACTCTCAGTGAATGAAACCGCTCGCTTTATTTTACCAAACCTGGCCGTGACGTCACCGCTACACCGCCCACAACCACGCCCCTTCCAAAAGCACAATGAATTCAGTTCGGAGGTGCTTTCTGGCGCCATCCGCTGGCAGACTGGGGAATTACAGCTTCATTTCTATTCACTGCTCCACCAAGACACAACTCAAAGTGGTTATGGTATCTAGATACTATCCCATAAAATAAAAAAAATAAAAAAGTCCTAAATAACAATAAAAAAATGGAAAACAAAGGAAAAAACAAACATTATTCCTCAGTTTTACATGTACCGTAATCATTCCTACACAAAAAGTGCAAGAAACTAGCTGAGATTGCAACTTTTATATTAGTTAAAGAATCCAAACCTGATCCACGAACGTATACATGTGTAGAAAGTACATTCTCCGGGCTATGTAACTAAGAATATTACACTTTAGATTCAAACATTTTATCACAAACCTTGTTCAAAATATAAATTTCGGTGTTTTTCAAGTGTTTTATTTATTTTGGGGAAATTTACAGACCATGTGTGGCCCACTACTGTAATCACCCCATAGATGTATTCTGCTTTTGTTCTCGAGTACAATGATACCCCACATGTATACCTTTTAACTATAACCCTAAACCTGCTCCTAATCCCATCCCCCCCATGCAAGGAGACCTGGCCCATTATCCTAACCATAATCCAGGTAATAATCCAGGTAATAATCATACCCCGCATGTATACCTTTTAGCCATAACCCTAAACCTGCTCCTAATCCCATCCCCCATACAAGGGGGATGGGAGCGTTACTCATAGCTCATCTCTCCGTCTGGGGCCACTAATTGTGGTCTCAGATGACAGAAGGGACCCTCAGGTGTCCAATGGCGACGGTTAAATCTCTGCTGGTATCTTTAATGCATGACGGTCTATTCCGTCAGTGGACGTTAAAGCCCTGGGCTGCATGCCGGCATAGACCCTCATATGGTCGTTACGGGGTTAACATGCAGAGGAACACTTTTTAAAATATATTTACTTATGTTAGATCAATTTGTTGATGTTAGTGTCCCTTTAAAACTGAAGAATCCTCCAATCAGCAATGTTTTAATCTCAGCTGTTTAAATCTAAATTTTTAAATTTTACCATGAACAAGAGTTCCAAGCCAGCTAATGTCAATGCTGTGCATATTGGATGTCTGACATCAGAATACACAGCGTGCTGGCAACAGGCGACCTATGGTGCAATGGGCCTCCAGCTCTGTGCCACCAATGTCCTCCCCTCAGCCTGTCTTCCCTGATCCCCCTCCCTGCAGTGAGGGGTCTTTATGGGGCTATCTGACTGAAATAGCCATTCTAGTAACAGCCACTGGAGGCATTTAAACCCTGCAAAGTAAACACTGCAATTTTTGCAGAACGCCAGTGTTTTCCATTGCGGGGATAAAACTACAGAGACATGGCACCCAGATCATTTCATTGAGCTAGTGTCCGTATAACATCTTACATAAATACATAAACTGATTTGGAAATATATATATATATATATATTTAGTTTTGCTACTTCAGCCTACTATTTGAAAATCGCTAGAATTCAATACGTTTTGTTGAAAAGCTTCAAAGTTAAATATCGAACAAGTTGAAATAGAGGATCAAGTTAGAGATAAAACATAAAATACGACAATAAAGCGCACAATGTGGTTTGCAGGGTCAGTTTAACATTTAATAACATTAAAGCACATTGTATCTAATGTATCCAGGGAGACACCAATTACTTGGTCAGTGCTGCTGGGCCTGGAGGGTATATTGGTAAAAACATTGGAGGGGGCAAATAAGACAGGGGGATAGTAATGAGGAGTTAGGGGAAGATAATAAAGGAGGGGGAAAATATTTTATTAAGGGAGATGGGATGTTAGTAGAAATTAATGGACATAAAAAAATCCCTGTGGGGAAGTTATATCACAATGTGAGCCTGTCTTGCCATGGGGATTATGTTTTTTTGCGGCATTTAACACTAGCAGTACTAGAGATTTCTTATATGTCTTTAGTGAGAGAAATGTGTAATGGAGGAACTGAGCCATCAGGTCAAACTGAGGCACGTCGTCCATAGGTTAATGGAGCACCTAATGGACCTCTTTCAGAATGCCACCACCCTCATACCTCACCAAATGTTCCGCACCCCATCTGTGCATCTTCAGCAGGTGTCTGGTACGGAGGATTATTATTATTATTATTATTATGATATTTATAGAGCGCCGTCAAATTCCACAGCGCTTTACAATGGGTGGACGAACAGACATGTAGTTGTAACCAGACAAGTTGGACACACAGGAACAGAGGGGTTGAGGGCCCTGCTCAATGAGCTTACATGCTAGAGGGAGTGGGGTAAAATGACACAAAAAGGTAAGGATAGTATTAGACTAGTGACAGTTGCAGAAGAGGAATCAGTCAGGAGCTATTAACAGTTTAATTGATACGCTTTTATGAAGAAGTGGGTTTTTAACAATTTTTTTGAAGGAGTGGAGACTGGGAGAGCATCTAACGGAGGAGGGAAGTGAGTTCCACAGGAACGGTGCAGCCCTCGAGAAATCTTGAAGGCAAGCATCAGAGGTGGGAGTACGGACAGAAGATAGACGTAAGTCTTCAGCAGAGCTTAAGGACCTAGATGGGACAGAAGGGTGAGGCATAGGAGGTGCGGGCGGACAAGAAGATGAGCCTCGTCGCCGCATTCATTATGGACTGTAGCGGCACAAGTTGGGAGCACATAAGACCTCAGGAATGGAACAACACCCTAGTCGCATCTAGATAATCTAGAGTTTACGGCTTGAGGTGCAGTGTAGATTTCATAGCATGTTTCCTGCATTTGAGCAGAGATAGAACATTTATTGCTTTAAATGAATTAATTAAAATGACACTGTAGGCACTATAACCATTTCATCTCATTGAATTGGTTAGAGTGCCTGGAGTCTTCTGGCACTGTCTCTCAATTCAGGGTTAAACCATTTTCGAGAAGTTTAACATTAAATACGTGTCCCAGGCCACCCACTGTCCAGCCCCCATTGGAGGTGTGGATAAAACAGAGACTGCACACTTCCTGCTAGACATACCAATTCAATCCATAAATGGGTGCTGTGATGGGCTGAAAGTGGTCAGCTGACACTCTCAGCCAATCACAGCCACCCATTGATGCTCAAAGTTTCTTCCCTGACCCAAGCAGCACAGAGTATATTATTTAATTTAATGTTGAATAAAAAGACGGTGCAATGACTCTGGAACTTAACCACTATAGAGAAGAGAGTTACAATGCCTACAGTGTCCCTTTAGGGTGAGTATCACTGTCTGGGATCTTTCCCTAATTTGCTTGCTGGGTGTCCATTGGACGTGGGGTGCAGGGGAAGGTGAATGGGTCTCTCGAGGCCACCTCTATGGTCTTCCCCTTCATGTACTCTACTCTACTGCATGTGTAAAAGAATGTACTCTACTCTACTGCATGTGTAAAAGAACAACACTGGGGTCTATGGTGTATCCTGCAAGACCACGGCATCCTCCGTTGAGAGAGGCCTTTTCCCTACAGCTGCCACTAGTGTCAGTTTGTGGAAACTATAAAATTTGACAAAACCTTTGTCAAGAGCAGGAACAATAGTAAGGCAAAGTAGTCCCTAGTCTGTCTGTCTTCACATTCAATGTGAGCATTTCATAAAAATGTTATCCTTATAAAATACATGTTTTGGAGAGCAGGCTGGGGGTAAAGAAGTTGCTTTAAGGATGTGTGTAGATCATTATCCCATTTGCCAATGCAGGAAGAGAGTAGAGGGTACCTATCTTCCATAATAATGGCATATATCAAGGAGATGCGATTTGTTGGTGGGGTCTCCCCATTGCATAGTGGTTTACAGGGGGCCGTGCCCCCGTATGGCTATGCTATCTAGGTACGGATAGAATCGACTTATTTTCATAGAACTGCCTATACATGCAGAACTTGTTGGCGCTCTATAAATATTAATAATAATAAAAAAATAATAAAGTTATAATGCAGAATTCTCCGTGGGGTTCCTGATTAATAGTTTATTTTATTGTTTTATCTGCAGTCCCCTGGTTATGCAACCAGCCCACTCCTGTAATTATTCGTTAGACTTGCTTTTCTGTCTATATGGATTTCCTGTCTGTAATAACAAATGAATCTTCACCTCTCCAGTGAGTCATTCATGTGAGATAAACATTATACCCTCAGCATACACAGTCTGACTCGGTACCCCGAGACAGACACACGGCCATCACTGTTAAACCACATACAAATATTTTGCTGCTTGGGATCTCTGTGGCTTTCTATCCTTAGGAGCAGATTAGGTTTGTTGTTTTTTAATTTGGTGATGGGTGCACTTTCAGTTTACGAAGAGGTTCGAACCTCAATCACAATATTGCAATTACTGTTTAATGACGGTTCCTGAATTGCGGCTGGAATTGCAAGTTCATTATCCAAAAAAACCAACAACCTGTGATCTGTTTTCTGATCCTAATGTCGTCAAATAAGTTAGGAATTATAATCAAATCAAATTAATGATTTCTAGATTGATACGCCAGAATCACAGGTTTATTGACAAATAAAATGCTGGTTTTGCCGGATTTGCCAGTATATCACTAGTTGAAGATAATTTATTATTATTATTTTATTATTTAGATAGCGCCTGCAAATTCTGTAGCGCTGTACAATGGATATAAACCAGCATCATGGGTATCTTAGAAGCACTATAAAAACCCCACTTAAATAACGCAGTTTTAGATTCATGTAGTGTTTGTTTTTTGTTTTTACTCACAATGTTATTACGTCCTATTGGCTTATGAATTTGATAAGGGAGTAATGTCTTATTGTGCTACACTTTGCCTGTTATTGACTTCAGCTTGACTGCTTAATGTAAGGTATAGCGTCCTCTTTTGCAAAACTGATACTGCCAAAAGTGTTTTCAGAATACATCTGAAATCTTATTATTAATGTTCATTTGCCGCAACATTGTCAAAGAACTGCGAATTATTTTATCTTTCATATAGTTGTTGCAGCATTAACCTTAA